TTTTTTTTTTTTTAAGGCTATCCTTGCTTTAAGAAACAGGGCTAGTGACGTAGTGACAGCTTTATGCAGAAGGAAGCAGCATAAGCAAACCCAGAGAAGCATTACCTTTCAGTTCTACAGTGGTAAACACTGAACACTTCACAGTGTGCTAAATACTCCCCTCACCAAGCAACGCAGTGCGTGAGCCGCTAACACACGTCCAAGGCACAGCTCATTCATCTGGACAGATCTAGCATCAAGTGCTCCTATAAATAGCTTCATTATCTGAAATAGAAACTCATCTATCACCATTCTAATTAGAATGTGACTAAGGAAGTCAGTATTTAACAAGGCTTTTGTAATATTTGGTGGTTACAATAATAGCTTTGAAGTTCCAGGACGAAAATCAGTTTTCGAAATTTCTTCTCATTTACTATCTCTTACTCTCCATTATTCTCAGTTGCCAGATATTCCCTAAACCACTGTTTTTGAAATTTAATAATGGTGATACATTTTCAAAGAATCTGGAAAAACAAGAGCACAAAGAATAAAAAAAACATATGCTCTTCTGTCAGAGACTCCCACTGCTCCCACTTGGGTATACATCCTCCCAGGCATTTTCTGTGCAGATAAGCATTTTTACCAGTTAGCATCATAATATACATTTTCTCCAACTTTCACCTAACACATCAGGATTCCCTCCATCAGATCATTATTTCATAATTGGGGGGGAGGGGGGTTCTACAATATTCTGTCACATGTACATACCATAATTGATTTAGAAATTTCCCACTTTACTGAATATCAACTGCTTAAACTTCTTGGTTTTTATGGGCAACACAGAGCAAAACATTATTGTATAGTAATTCCTATAGATTTCTGTGTCTTTTTTTTTTAATCCTCACCCAAGGACATTTTTTCATTTTTGTTTTTGTTTTTTTTTTGTTCAGAGTGGAAAGGAGAGAGAGAGAGAAACATCAATGTGAAAGGGACACATAGAGTGGCTGCCACCCACATGACCAACCAGGGCTGGGGACAAACTGCAACCGAGGTACGTGCCCTTAGCAGGAACCAAACCCGGGTCTCTCTGGACTGCAGGCCAATGCTCTAACCACTGAGCCAAACCGGCCAGGGCAATTTCGGTGTCTTTTTTAGGGAAAATTTCCCGTAGTGGATTTGCTGGGTCAAAAGATTTATAAAAAAATTAAGAATATGTCTTTATCAACCCTACTTATCTGCTTATAAATTACCAACTTACACTCCCATCAGAAGTGTGTTGGAGTGGCTTCTACCTTGCATCCTCACCAAAGCTTCCTATTAAAATGGTGTTTTTGCCAAATGATTGTTGGTAAATTATACTGCATTAAAATGTGCATTTCTTTGTCATTGCTTGTCTTCAAGGATCAGATTTCAGTATTATTTAAGGAGAATGAGTAAGTCTGGAAGTCAGCCAAAAAATATTCTTGTGCCTGCATGGGGAACTCTAAAAGTGCACATATCATCTTGGCTGGTAAAGTTTTCCTTTCTTTCTTTGTTAAATACCGATTTTTTAGAGAGAGACATAGAAACATCAATGTGAGAGAGAAACATCCATTGGCTGCCTCCTGCATGGCCCCTACCGGGGATTGAGCCCACAACCCGGCCATGTACCCTGACTGGGAATTGAACTGGGCCCTCTCTGCCCACAGGATGATGCTCAATCCACTGAGCCGCACCAGCCAGGCTAAGATTTTTCTTAAGCTTGTATACAAGAACCTGGCCAATCTCTTAAAAGATTACATTTATCTCAAAAAAAACATGAGAGGCTAGTGTGTGTGTGTGTATCTACATGTGTTAGTAACCACATTCATGGGGGAGAATTACTGTCTTTTGTCACCTTCCTCAAAGTTAAACAGCTCTGATAAGGAACTATTTGTCAAATAAAATGTCACTTGTGAAACACAATGGCCTGCCACATAAATGTGCTTTTTAAAAAATGGAATAATCGCCCTGGCCGTTTTGGCTCAGCGGTTAGAGTGTTGGCCTGCGGTCCGGAGAGACCTGGGTTCGGTTCCCACTAAGGGCACGTACCTCGGTTGCCGTTTGTCCCCGGCCCTGGTTGGTCATGCGGGTGGCAGCCACTCGATGTGTCCCTTTCACATCGATGTTTCCCTCTCTCTCTCTTCCTCTCTCTCCCTCCTCCTCTGTCTGTACAAAAAATGGAAAAATGTCCTCGGATGAGGATTAAAAAAATAAATAAATAAAAAAAATAAAATAAAATAAAATAAAAAATGGAATAATCTAATTTTACTTAATGAGTAAAAAGTCCATTAAAACACAAGGCAACCTCTATGGCAATCCAAGACTGTCACTTCTTACATGGCTAATTTACTGCAGTGAGAAAGGTAGAAAAGCATTTAAAATGCCGCACATAACCTTTGTTGTAAGCAATTTTTAAAACCATTTCTCTTTATTGTTGTAAGTATTACAAATGTTCCCCCTTTATTCCTCCACTGACCTACTCCAACCTGCTCTCCCCCTCCCCAGGCCTTCCCCACACTATTATCTGTGTCCATCGGTTATGTATATCTGCATATAAGTTCTTTGGTTTATCTCTTCCCACCCCCCAACCCCCTTCCCTCTGAGATTCGTATCTGTTCCCTACTTCCATGTCTCTCTGGATCTATTTTGTTCGTTAGTTTATTTTGTTCACTACATTCCACATATAAGTGAGATCATGCAAGCAATTTTGAATCCATGTTCTAGACTTCATGTTGACTTTAAAAAAAAATAGTTAGGGTTGATGTTGACTTAAATTGTGTAATAAATGTGCTAGAAAGTTGACACAATAAAGAAAATGGATTATAGCTGTTAAGAAAAATAGGCTGAGCAGTCCTCAAGGTGCATGATCTAACTCACTGTACCCAAGAAGGCTCTGTGAAATGTTAAAGAAATATAGAGTATAAGGGGGTGGAAGATTCTTCCAGGAGAGTAAACTGCATGTTACGTGTTGTCCTCATTTCTCTTGCTGGGGTGGGGGGTGTCTCAGTATCACTACGGTTCCATCCATTAATCCCAATGCTACAGAAGGAGCAGGATGTGATCACCCAGGCTGAGTGCTAAGCTCCTTTGAGCAGGCATTTTACCTGGATGAATGCTTTATCTGAACTTAGCAATTCACTCCATGACTACAGAGAAATACCATGTAGATTTTTAAGGTTTGGCAACTCCATAATTAATGTTTTTCAGATCACTGTGTGATTAGTAGGAATGCAGTTACCAATAGGCTGGGCCATATGCCATTAGATTTGCAATTTGCTTTTCTGCTCATCAAGAGAACCCTAAATTCTTGTTTTCTTATAACCCTGAATCTTAGAGCAAATCGAGAAGCAAATATTTCTTAACTGTGAGGCAAATAGCTAAGTGAAGTGGAATTGTTCAGTTTTTTAAAGTGTAATATCTAGGCTCTTTTTTCACACCTGCCGCAATGTTACATTTTTGTGTGTTAGTAATGGCTAAAAAATGTTCTGAGATTACCTAAGAGTTTAGCAGTAAGCATAAGCCAGTTTTATATATTAGTGAAATTAAGCTTTAAAACTGTTGAATTAGACCATGTTAGATAGGGCTTGACTAATCTCCAAATCTAAAATTTAAATTTGTTGATGCTGTGAGCAGAACCTGTAACTTACTTCTAATCAATAGAATATGGCAAAGGTGATGAGAAGTTGCTCCCCTATTATTTCATCTAAGACTGTCTTACTAGGGGACAGTCTAGTCTCCCTCGGTTGTTGGCAAGCTGTCAAGGGTCTTATGACCATGAGAAAATGCATTCTGCAAATGGCTGGAGGGCTTAGAAGCGAGATCTTCCTCAGTTGAGACCCCAGCCTTAGCCTTGCAAAGGACCCAGTGAAACCACACCCAAGCACCTGACCTGCAGAAACTGAGATAATTAATGTGTGTTGTTTTAAGCTATTAATTTTGTAGTAATTTGTTATACAGCAATAAAAAACAGCTGCAGATTTTAGTGTCAGCAGTGGGGCTCTGCTATCACAAATGCACGAATGTGTGGGAGGCTTTGCAGCTTCCACACAGCGGTGACTGGAGGCTGGACAAGTCTGAAGAGCAATGACAGAAAAGGAAAGAAAGCCGAAAATGTACAACTTCCTTGATAATGTGTAAGTTTATAAAAATGAACGAGCACTTACTGCTGAGAACAGAAAAACATGAAAACGCTAATTTTGGTTTAAAACAGTGAACACTGGTACAAATTGATGGACACAACTAAGCAGACTGGGTGCAGGTGTCCTTGGGAGGTCACATACCACTTTGTATCAATAAAGTGTTAATTTTTCTCAACACATTTTTGACTGGCTTCAAACAAATTTTAAATGATGCTTCAGTTCCTAAAATGAATACACAGTGTTAATAAAGAGAAGCTGATAACACCTTCAGAGATAAATGATAAGAGTAAGACCAAGATATGGGATCAATATAACAATTTTCTGAAAAAAATATTTAAAAAAAATTTAGAGTTAAAAAAAATGAGAAAGTTTGGTAAAGCATGACATGGTAGAAAATGCCAGCAAGTACTAGGTGTTAGGTTGGCAGTGGTAACAAAGTCTTCTTAGTCCCTGACATGCGAATGAGCTGCAGGAACATGCTGCGTGGGCCTTCGTAAAATGCACCTTTGATTGTTCAGCTAGCTGTGGAGCTGATGTGAGTGAGAGTGGTAATGTAGATTAAAAGCACCTGGTTATATAACAGCTTCTGTTCTTATAAAAAGTCAAAACTTTGAAATGAGATTCTGTACTTTTTTAAAAAGGCCTTCATAGGCAACCATTTATATATGTATTTTGTTTCCCATCTCCAAAACATGAAATAGTCCACACACTATATTATCAGATGGACACCTTGTATCATGTACACAGAAGCTATCTCTACAATGCAGAAGATAAGGCCTTTGATGTCATGTAAATGTTACCTCTGGACTAAACACATACAATACTGAAATTATTACACAAAGAATGCATTTACCATTTTTATTTTACTATGCAGAGACATACATTCACTGTGGGCTGAGTGATGCAGGTAGACAGTGTAATGGAGAATATATCTTTTTTGGAGTCTATTTATAACTAAACAGTAAATAGTTTAATTACAGTGGAAATTCTGTACAGTTTAAGGCTTGGCTCTGAACTAGGTTGTAAATATGGACCAGATTTGGAGAAAAAACCCTATTTATTTCAAGTAAAAGAAGAAAAATCAATGAAAAAATGTAAGAAAGAAGAAAAGAAGGGGAAAAAAAACGCAACAGGAACTCAACAGGTTTTTTGGAGTGAAATTTCATAATATTGTAAACTAACAAAAATACATATTTTCTTCTCCAAATTATGACAATTTACATATTTAGGATTTGATAGGAAATTCTGGAAAGCTTTCAAGACTGAACAGACTAAAATAGAGACAGGAAGAAATCACATTAATATGCTAAAATCAGTACTACCTTATAATGAATTAAATTAGATACACAAAGCAGGATTGGAAGCATTAAATATTTCCAGAGGATCAGAGAGTCATCACTGTTTATGGGTTAAGAGTAATAAAACCAGATGAAACAAGTACAAGATTCAAGTGTTTACTGAATAAACTCGGTTATTGGCACATCTAATCTGGGATAAACCTGATACACCAGACAGCTTCTAGCATTTTAGGATAATCTTCATTTATCTGTAAACAAAAGGTCTGTCACCTAAGAAACTGAAATTTTGTTTAGACTTTAATAATAATAAACTATAAAAGGCATGGATTGGTTATGTGTTACATGAGATCACGGTTTATATTGTTGGTTATGAACGTGCAGGTATAGCTGAAAACTTAGACACTTTGTGAAAATTAAAAATGCTGCTTTTTTGTAATTTTATCGTTGCTTCATGCAATATCAGTTTAGTGATGCTGATTCGGATTGCTTTATTACGGGAAGATCTTTCTGCCAGTGTCTTTAATTAATGGTCAAGGTTTGTTCTTCTGGATTGAAAATTTCCACGGGCAGATACAAGTCAGTGGGGTTAGAAGAGGGAACTCCATATAGGCTCTGGTTTTCCTAATGGTTTGCATGACTGGATTCCTGTGCAGGCTAAGTTATTCCTGTAGAAAAGAGATTTGATCAGTTACTCATTTGAAAACATCTGAGCCCAAGGTCACAAGAAATGTTATCTTGCAGGTCATTCAATGCTCTTCTTGACAAGATGCTGTAAAATACCAGTGTAAGTCACTGATAGGCTTTGTCTTGAATAACTACAGCATCACCCAAGTGGTTGAAGCTCTGTGGAGAGAATCTATTTTTGCTTTCTCTCTTCTAAATTACATTATTAACTTGAATCTGAGTGATTTTTTTTTAAAAAAATATTTTTATTGATTTTTTTAGAGAGATAGAAACATCAATGTGAGAGAAAAACATTGATCAGCTGCCTCCTGCACACCCCCCACTGGGGATCGAGCCCTCAACCTGGGCATGTGCCCTGACTGGGAATTGAACCAGGACTTCTCAGTGCATGGGATGACAATCCACTGAGCCTTACCGGCTGGGCAAATCTGAGTGATTTTTATGTTTTTCTTTAAGAGAGGCTTCTTGTCAATCTATGTTTCTTAAACTAATGTTAGAGAACTAACTTCATTTATACATGTAAAATATTTAAGAGACTTTTATCACATAGCCAAGTATGCAAGTAGCTTATCAGAAGCAGTCAGCATTCAAAGCCCTCCAGGGATGCGGAGAGCCCCACATGGCAGGTTAGTATGCATGACAAGTCTATGCACACACAGAGGATGCTGTCTGCTTGCAATGCCAACCACACAGCAGCGGAAAGGCATGCGCTTCCTGGAGGAAAGTGGGATCACAGGACTGAATTTTCCCTCCTCCAGAGCCACAATGCTACACTAGGGGAAAACGTTCAACCCAGAGAATACAGAAAATAGAAGACAGCCAAAATGAAAGTGAGTGCTCAGGTTTCAAATTAAAAAACAAAGCAAAACAAAAGCATAAACAGGTTATAAACAAACACAGTTGAAGAAAAAGCTTATAATGGGATAATGTTGCCATCAAAAGGAGTAAGGAGTATATTTATTTCCCTAGTATTTGCAACACACATATTGCATCTTTCAGAACAAAGCTACCTTAGTTCTGAGTAGGTCACATGGCAAGTAAAATCAAATCCGGCCTTGCAAAGCTGGATAATGAAAAGAGTACAGGAAATGGATCAAAAGGGAACACCAGCGAGATCATGCAAGCAAAGACTCCGCTTTTCCTTTATCCTCCAGCTGGCAGTGTACACAAAAGTCCTCAGGATGGAACCTCCAAATGTGACACAAACAAGTACCTGACAAGTAGTTTTCCATCCTTTTGGTACCCAGCCCTGCAAATGCCAGTGAGAGAAAAAAGGAAAGGGAGGAATCAGGTGAGGGATGAAGGGAAAGTGCCCCATGCCACATGCCCGCTGAGGCCAAGCCAAGTGAATCAGTGTCACCTCTTACCTGGGGTCAATCCTCTCCATCTTCCGGTGTGATCTCTGTCTCTTTATGGACCACTACTTTGGTCACTGACATGTCAGGGTGCTGCTCTTTGGCCTCTTTAATTGCCTGAGCCAGAGCCTATCCCCAGGAAATCACAGAAGGGCGAAGACAAAAAGGAGGTGGAACATGCATGATCAGTAGCAAGGTGGAGACTTATGAGCTAGATCTATATACACAATTTACAAATGAGGTACAATGATTGCAAAAGGAATCATACACTGTATATTGGAAAATTAATTCAGAAAACTGTTTAGATTACACGCTGAACTGTAAGAATGGGACTGGGAAGAATAGGGCCAACAAGTGTTTCTCTGGCTCTGACAGGGTGTTTACCATCTCACACACTACCTGGTCATGGTCGATGTCTGCATCACCCGTGATGACTATTCGCTTCTCAATTCTTGTCTCTGAAATGCCTCCTTTCACAGTCTGAAAGGAATAGACAAGCGTTATGAATTTGCCCACTCAGAAGAATAATCATTGTTCAATGGAGAGAATAGCAGAAGACGCTGACCAAGTTTGAAGTAACATCCTTCTTTTTTCTAATTTTTCAGTTACAGTTCACATACAATGCCATGTTAGTTTCAGGTGTATAACATAGTGATGAAACAGTTATGTAACTTATGAAGTTATGACACTGATAAGTCTAGTATCCACTCAACACCACACATAGTTATTATAATATCATTCATTAAGAACTGAAACATTAAGAACTGGCTGATTTGGCTCAGTGGTTGGAGCATTGGCCAGCAGACTGAAGAATCGTGGGTTCGATTCTGGTCAAGGGCATGAACCTCAGTTGCAGTTTGGTTCCCAGCCTTGGTCGGGGTTGTGCAGGAGGCAACCGATTGATGTGTCTCTTTCACATCGATGTTTCTCTCTCTCTCTTTCTTTCTCCTTTCCACCCTATCTGAAGATAAATGGAAAAATATCCTCAGGTGAGGATTAAAAAAAAAAGAATTGAAACAGAATTCAATAGTAGTTATTTTAAATCGTTAATTTCAGAAATGGGCATAGTATGGAGTCCTCTGATTTGGCTGGCTAGTGTTTCTGGAGCACCTGTCATGCACCAAGCATTCGTGTTAGGTAAGCAAAGGTTATAAGAATGTATATTCAGAAACAGAAACTAGCCTGTGAGGACAAATGTATCATAAAAATAGTAGTTGTGAAAGCTCCAACGCAGTATCCCGGCATCCCGATTGTTACATAACTATTTCCCTATGCAGCCAAACCTAGAAATTCTGGGTGAAGGCCTTCCTTTGATCAGGTCCCACTCCACTTACTTTGGTGATGTGGGTGGTGGTCGTGGAGCAGGTGGTTTCCGAGGTGATTGTCTGTGCACTCATTAGCACGCCTGGCTCCAAATCAGCACTAGAATCAACCTAAGCAAGCAAAGAAATAGACATCACACTCAAATATTTACAGTACCTCTCCAGATGTTTGCTGTTAATTTAGGGCATTATGATGATTTAGTTGTCTCTGATGATCACTGTGTGCCTCAGTCAACACCTGGCAGCTACCACTATTGGTAAAGACTGAACCAGACAGGGCCAGAGTTGACCATCATTAGTAAAACTGGGACTTTAGAAATGTAAGCAGTGGCTGGTTGGGCTAATATTTTTCCTTATCCATAGCTATGGAAATAGATGTCTGGGTCTTTTTCCACATTTTGAGATATAGGAAGACTTGTTTAAGCCATCTCCTACCCAACAATCAGTAATAAAATTATAATTACTGCATCACTCTTGATAAAGACAGTCTGGCTTGGTACTCTGAGTTTCACAAATCAATAATCATACAATTATGCCTGGCCTGTGGCTCAGTGGATTGAATGTCATCCCATGGACTGAGAGATCCTGGTTCAATTCCCGATCAGGGCACATGCCCAGGTTGCAGGCTCTACCCCCAGTAGGGGATGTGCAGGAGGCAGCTGATTGATGTTTTGCTCTCATATCCATATTTCTATCTCTCTCTCCCTTCTTCTCTCTCTAAAAAATCAATAAAAATATATTTAAAAATTAAAATTAAAATCATACAGTTAATCTAAAATGCACTAAGCCATTAAAGGGGTAAAACAAAGTGCAAGGGCTCTGGTCTTCACAGACTGTCTTACCTCTGATGATTCATATGTTATGGTTTTGGTTTCTGTGTGAACAACTGGCAATTCCTTGGTAGAAATTTCTAGCTTTGCTCCTCCCGGCGAAACACTGCCAAAACTGATGGTTTCTGTCTTCACAGTGGATGACTGCACCAAGGGAAAGTAGGAGAGTGGCAATTAGTTTCTACAAACAGTTTTGTTTTTTCTCCTCTCCGCTTGGTGGATATATATAAGCACAGGTTAGTATGACATAAATGTTTACATGTCCCATGAGGTTAGGTCAGTTAGGGACTGAGGCACACAACAGACACATGTCCAATAGTCTCCCAGAATTCCAGTGTCTTTACATAGAATGGTTCAGGTAAAAAATCATTTTGAAGGAAATAAACCAGTTTTATGTCCCCCCTCCTTGATCTCATAAACTAATCTTAATAAATTTTAAAAAATCAAAAATTAGCCTTTTAAAAAGTATTAACTTCTTAGAAAGAAGGAACAAGTAGTAAGACATAACGCCCCTGGCTCCTAATATTTCAAGAACCACAAGAGGATAAAGAATAAAGTCCTGCTATTTGGCAAATGCACAATCATGGTTTCTGGTCCTTTAGGATTACATTGATCAGAGATAAATTTATCAAATTCTCTAATATCCTAGCTGGACATGCATTTCCCAGGTTTACTGCAAATTACACTAATTACAATGAGAGCAGAAATCATTTCCTGGAACTATACATTATTAAGAATCATTATATATATTTGCATGAGACCCATAATTGCCACACATGACAGAAATAAGAGAAACAAAACGTACTTGAAAAAGATAGGAAATTAAACTTAATTCCATCATTATGCTTAACTAAAATTTAAGGACTTATATAAGTTTAGTGCTAAAAGTAACATTAACTACAAGTTACCTCAAAATGAGGTTTTTGTTCCAAAGTTTCAGAAATGTGGATTGCTCTACTCTGCTCCTCCTCTGGCTCATGGGAAGCAGTGGCCATTTCTTCCTGTTCCAGGACAGCTTTATCAGCCAACTCCCCCTTTTCCTCTTTAGCCCCCTCCGTCAGAGCAGAGCCCTCCTTCCCTTTAATGCTAGAAGCATCAGCAGATGCTGCTTGTGCTGCAGCATCCACATCATCTCCAGCCGCGTAAGAAGCATCCCCACTTGCATGCACATTCATCACATGTCTTTCCTCCACCAACACAGTTTCCTGCATAACCTTCTCAGTGCTAAGTGGCTGGGGGTGCTGGGTTGTTTCGGCCTCTGTGTCGCTGAACCCCGTCTTGGTTTCTGTTTTCTGCATGGGAGAAGATTGTGGTGTCAGTGCCATCTTTCCATAAACCAAAGGTAAAAAAACAAAAGACGCCACTCACCGGGATGCCTAAAGCCAGTGTCAAGTGCTTATAACCAGAAACACTCATAGAAAATATAAATTAGCTTTCATTCCTCCCACCAGAGTCTTTGATGCCTGCCCTCTGCACCAACACACACATTCAAATCTATGCTGCTACTTCAGCATATCCACAACAGAAACAAAATGCAATGTAAAACACAATTAACAAAAACAAACACCACCACCACCACCAACAACAAAAAAGCAATGTGGCATATTCACATTGGTTTTGGTTGCTTTCTTGGACCTAATAAGTGGTATAAAATGCTTTAAAAAATTAAATGCTATTAAAATTCCTCAACACCATTGCCATTTGAGTATCTGAAATATGTTCTTATAATGGAACTAAATGCATTTGACAGAGACGCCAAGCAGGCGCAAAGGAAAAGAACCGAACTCATCTCTGAGGTGTTTGAGGCAAAGCCTACATGGATGCAACACACACACACACACATGCAGCAAAAAGGCACAAAGAAATAAAGCAAGGCAAATAGGCAGAGTCAGGAACACCAAGGATGGAAGCAAAAGGCCACCTGAACCCAGCTCTGAGAAGAGGAGGAAACCCCTCCTATGAATTCTGTTGGTTTTCTTGCAGACTCTAATAAGCTGAAGATTTCTGAGCCGTCCATGAGCTTTTCACCAGAAGATTGCTTAGTCTGAGTGAACAAAGAAATGGAGAGTCAAGCACAGAGACAGGTACATACACAAGCTCATAACACATTCACAGCTGGTTAGACAAAGTTGGAGGCCGAGGAAAGAGAAAGGAGGGATGAAGGAATCTACCATACACTTTGGGAACGGAAAGGAATGAAAAATAAAATAGCAAATCGAGGTGACCATGAGCTCTTGTTTGGTAAAGCAGAGAGTTATTAGGATTAGGGTGGTGCCGGTTTAAGCAGGTCATTTTTTCCCTTCATTGCAAGCCACAGCAGCGCTATCCCATCTCGGGAACAGGGAGCTGGAGATAAAATGAAAAGTGTTTTAATGCTCACTGGACTAAGGTATTGACTTAATCATGAACAAAAGTAAAAAGCTTGGGTTGGCTGCTCTGAACATAAAGCCAAACAGCAAGAGAAACGGAAAGGTTCGGGGTAGAAGGGTGCTGCCCAAACACGTCATGCTGGAATCCGCCCCGGCGCCGAACGAAAGGCACTGGTTACCACGACTCGGGACGCCGACTCGGTAAGGTAGTGAGCAGTGGCGACGCTGAAGGCCGGTTCCTGGGAGTACCTCCACTCGGACAGGCTCTTCCTCCTGGGCCCGAAGAGCCCCACGCGCAGGGCCTGCCCCTCCGGCGCGTGCTCGGTTTTGCTCCACTGCACGCTGTCCAGGCCCACGTGCAGGGCCGCGTCCCCTCCCGGCCTCCGCGCTTTCTGGGGGTCGTCTTCTTCGGGGCTCTGCCGCCGGGACTCGGCTTCCTTGATGGGAGCCAGGGATTCTGACAGTCTCCGCTTCGGAGTGTGGACTTCGGGTCCTCTCTTGGATTTCTCATCAGTGATGGCTTCCAGGACCTCGTACTCTGTCATGCCAGGGATGATCTTCACTGACTCCGTTTTCTGAAGCGCTTCAAGCCTGGAGGGATGCACTCCCTTCTCTCCCTCCTTAGCTTTTTCCGTCATAGTGACGACTTTTCCGGATACGGTATCATAGGACTTTCCTAGAGTGTATATTTTCTGTTTGCTTTCTTCTTTCAATTGTATTTCTTGGGCCAAATCATCGAAGCTCTGCATTTCAATGGTACTAGATCTTAACATGTCTGCAGGGACGTCACCAGTTCTACTGCTCAAGGTCACCACCTTGTAAGTCACGATCTTTTTCAAATCACCATCAACTACCTCAGTAGGTATTTTGTCTACAATAACCCAATCCTCTGTGGCCTATATTTGAAATATAAAAGCTAAATTAGAAACTCTGATGATATCTCATTTCTAAAACAAGAATCCTTTAAGAAAATCAAGACAAGAGCTAAACTCATGTGACTGTACAGGGCTGGTGTTATCTAGTAATTATTGCTGCAATCTCATCTCATCTGAAATTTATAAGCTCTAACCTTCAATTCGGAATATAGTCTGCATGTAGAGCTGCAATTTCAGATTTTTTAAAATAGAAACATACATTGGTGTTAAATTTTGCAATGTACTTGATCGTATGTTAAACATCTGATTATTCTAGGTTTTAAGATTAAATAACATTGCTGAAGTGGTGGTATAAGTTATTTAGCCTTACTTGTGTGGACACAAAAGGACAGTTTTGATGTGAAACATAACGGTGTACTTCATATCTGTTGTTCTCACAAAGAACTTACCAGCATTCCACAAATTTCTGTGGATAGCATTTCATGTTTGTAAGTTATACTTCCTTATTTAGGAGACCAAGTCCATTATACCACTTATTATCCAACAAATATTAACCGTGTCTGTGTTCAAGGCATTATAATGAAATATTTCCCACTGTTGGGACATTGCTGGATCCTCTTGTAAACAGGCTACAGCGTTCCAATCTTAATTACAACTGAAGTTTATCGTCTCCGAACTTTCTTTGCCACTGTCCTTAGTGTTAGTTCCAGTAAGGCAGAAGAAGTGAACGTTAAGAAACTTGCATTTGGGAAGCCTAACAGCATGTGACAGGCAGTTGACTAGTCTAACAGGTTACAGAGGGAAAAGAAATGAAACCTGGAGTAGATGAGCACCTTGGTTTACATTTTAAACTAGAATGTTTTCTACGTGCATTAATTATCACTGTCTGAAAACTTGAATCTAGAAATATGTGTGCTTTAAGAAAAAGAATTGCAGATTGATCAACATGTTGGTGCTGGATTAAATGAAATGAAGTGAAAAATAACCTCTAGGGTCGATGGGACAGTTTTCTGGAAAATGACTTGAGAGGTAACCACAGAGCCCGCTGAGTCTCCTTCCCGAATTTTCTTTATCACACTTGGCTAGTGGGAAAACCAATAAAAGTTCAGAACTGTCAAAATCATTCAAAGTCACCTAAATTAATATCACATTATGGGTAAAACAAGTGGTGAAAAGTTCCAATAATACTCTTAGAAATGCCCACAAACAGACATAACCATCTAGGAGCAAAAGCCATAAAGAGATGATGGCTACCTGATAACTACTATGGTAAGAAAATTCCTCTTTCTCCACCCCAGAATCTAAGTAAAAATGATATACCTACCTTAGTTTTCAGGAAGGTAAATTTTAAGAAGAAAACAAAACTAAAGACATTTTAATGACACTGCATTTTGAAAAGCTTCCCTTTTGGAAAATTCCTTTATGTTTGTTTTTTTACCTGAGACTCAAGGAATGAAGAGCTTCCCTGCTGCAAAAATATAACTTTTTCAGAAATTTCTCTTTCTTCTTTGGTCTGTTTGAATAAAGGGGTTGGGTTGGAAAAGAGGAAGTAGACAGTTTCCAAAAAGGCAAGTTAGGAGAGAGTTCTTTTATTGTGTTATACAAATACCAGTCATTCTTTTTTCTGAGAAAGCTAATTATTGTTTATTAATTTGAAAAATGGTCTGAAGCCATATCTAAGTTGAATAGTTATTTCCAAAAAGTAACATGATTTTCTGAAACTCTAGTGTTTCTATGACTCAAATATTGTTCATCTCTACGAATACACCGTGTAACAGCAACACAAGGAGTGCCTCGGCATTTGAACAATGGCTACATGTCAGTTCAGTCATCTGCAACACCATAAAAGTGAGTATTAAAAGAAATATTAAGATTAAAAAAAATTAAGGTAGGAGAAAATTCCCACTTCTATTTTTGACAATATTTGATTGTATTTCCCATTTAAGTGCTGCTTGATAAAGAGTCAAGAAACACATACTGGTCACTGCATTAGCTACTAATTTGAATAAACTCAGTTATACTTAGGTTGACTTCTTCATTGTTCCACAAATAAACATAAAATACACTCAAGGTAATAGCTTTATTTGAACTTTTATAACATGGTAAAAGCTTTTAAAAAGTCAAGTTGAAAATATTTTGGTGAAAAATTAGGTATTTCAAATCATGCTTATTTTTATCATATCAAACTGAGAAATGTTAAAGTAAATATGTCATGTTATTCTTTTTATTCCTTTCTTTAGTACTAAATAGGCATACTTTAAGTGGCAATACACTAGTTACTGACTCTATCTCTGTGCACAGCATGCAACTCCACAGAGTATTAACAGAAAGGATATTTTGGAAGATGAATTTAAAAATAACAGAAAGTTCAAATTTTCTAGGAGAATGTTGCTTTTAAAATAAATTCTACTGTTGTAAACAATATAATTTTATGAGAGCTATTTAATAAAGAACAAATAAGACATTTTCAAAGAAAAAAAAAATCCCTGTCCTGCCCCACTTTGCATAAACATACTGGAAGAGACAAAATGTACCATGTGGAATCATTAAATGTGGGTTTTTGTTTGTTTCAATCATAGCCTCTTTTTCAAGCAGGAATAAGAAACTAGAAAGGTCAAAATTATAGGTACTTTTCAGAATACCACTGCTATACCTCTAATTATAATCACTGAGCTAAATATTTTTCCTAAGATGAAAGCTTAAAAAAACAAAACCAGCAGGAGAACAGTGGTATCCAGTGTATCTTGTTATCTGACATCAACTAATTTCAAAAAGGTCTGTGCCTATAACTGAAAATGTCCACACTGTCTGCATTCAGAACTGGGTATGTTCAGTAACAGAAAAGGGTAAGAAAAGGGGATAGATTTTAATATTAAACCTTCTATATGGTCAACCCCAACCCAGTTAATTCAGCTAACAGAGAAGAGCTACTGACAAAAAAAAGTTGATAACTGAAACATTTACTAGTATGACGGGTTAGAATAGAGTCAGATGTATCCTCCAACCATTTTGCTTAGTTACTAAAAAGTTCATCTCTGCAAACTGGGAAAGAAGGCCCTGCACCGGCATGCAAAAGTCAGGGGTGTATTTGCTCTTAGGGCAATTAAGGGTTTCTACAGAGCTGTGGCTCTCACTTCTGCCTGGGCCAGAGGTTTTCAAACTGAGCAGTGCATCGGAATTATGTGGCAAGCTTTTTAAATAATAGTGATGTGTGGGGTGCACCTCAGTATTTAAAACTTTCCCCCACACAATTTTAACATGCACTTAGAGTTGCACCCCAAGACCTCGGTGGAAAATCAGAGAAGTCAGATTCAGAGGATGGAGGTGATTCTTCCTGTTCATAAATAGATGATCCCTCGTGAATGGGTTTTTGTCCAATTTGAGGTTCTTCTAAAACCTGACTAGCAAAAGTATAGCTTGACCAGAAAGCAGACAAATGCACAAACAGAACAATTCTAGTTATTCACGGCAGTTATGTTCTATAAAGTCACTACAAACAATGAATTAGTGAATGCTGCAACACTGACCCATTGGGAAAATACAGGATTAGGTTCCTGTGAACCTCTGGCCACATCAAGACATAACTTTGTTTTATATGTGCTTCTGTATAAAGATCTTATACTCACAGTGAACAACACTCTTAACGTAGTCATGTAACAGGTAGTTTCCCATAAAGCACTTCGCAGCCCTCTAGTGCTTAGCTGAACATTAGACCACTTCACTACTATGCCTGGGGGCCATTTTTAAACAGCAAAATCACCAGGAAAACACAAAAAAGCAAAAACGTGGCACTTAAATAGGCCATGTAAAGGACACTTGTTTACAGTATGAGCTGAAACAAGAAAGCAGAACACTGTCTTTCATCCTCAGCTGGGAACATATGCACTGAGCTACTCAGATTTTTGACCACCCAAGTCTGTCTGCAAGTGATGGTGAGAGTCTGTTAACATTGATTCTAGGGTGACAATAAATTTTAGTGAGTAAGCAACTGTGCAAATATGGAATCCATGAATGAGGACGATGGACTGTACTAAGCTTACACACCTGTAAAACCAGCTACATTAAAAAAGGAGAACACTATTGGCACGGTGTGGAAACTTTTAATATTTAAGTAACCACAAAGGAATATGCCTCTAACGTGGACTAGGCCGAGGTGATCACAGGTTGTCATGAGAAGTAACTGTGGAAAGATGATGTACCTGGAACTCTTCACATACCACACATCTACCCTTCCTATGTTTCCTGGGCCCTACAGGTGCATTTGTCTATTTTCCAAAGTTAATGAGCACTGATATTATCTGCTACTTTGGGTCATATCTTTGCTATTTGACTGCTAATAAGTCAAATATTTGAAATTTGAAACTAGTGGCAATAAAATTCTCATATTATAGTAAACATACATAATACTCTTAGAGTATCATTACCATTACTAGCTCAGTATTTGTACTTCTCTTAATTTTCTTCTAATCATAAACATGTAGCATTTTATAGAAATATATTTACTGCCCTGGCCAGGTGGTTCAGTTGGTTAGACTGTTGTCCTGTACACCAAAAAGGTTGTGGGTTGGATCCCTGGTCAGGGTGCATACTAGAGGTTTTTAATTGATGTCTCTCTCTCACATTGATGTCTCTCTCTCTCAATCTCTCCCCATCCTTTCTCTTTACAAAAAAAAAAAAATCAATGAAAATGAAAACATATCCTCAGTTGAGGATTAAAAAGAAACATTTACTTATGAGTTAAACACACCGTAGATAAAGGAAAAAAAATGGTCACATTAAAAATCAGTCATAGATTTCTTTTCTGTATTTTATCACCAAGATTACCCAAAAAATTCAACTAAGCTTGTGGGGGGTCACTGAATCAAAATTTCTTCATCCTCTGACACAAACAATATTGCTTTATTTGGAATGTCAGTTTTAAAAATTAAATTATTTCCTTTTAGGAATAACTGAACTTTCTAAATTGGTCAATTACTATTTACTTATTTAAAGAGGGACATAGTAAATAACAGAATGATATCAAATTAGTAATTTACTTAAAAAATACCTCCCTTCTAAAATAAAAATCTTTTGGTTATGTTTGTAAGTGGACATGTTTTGTATATGCCTAACTGGGAGGATAAAATGATCTTTTGCACTTTTCACAAAACACAAAACAGAAGCCATGGTCCTAATACAGAAACTGGCAAGAATTTAGAGCACACAAACTTTCTGGATTGTTCTTAGGGCCCTCAAGTGGAGTATAAAGTTGGATGTCATCAAGAGTCCTGGACAAGGGTTAGAAGGGAGCCCCTAGGCCACTCTGCCCAGCCCTAAGGTCAAGGGAAATATGCCGAGCTCTGACCCCCCTACCCCCCAAGGACTTCTCTTCCTCTTGGACTTGAAACTCCTTAAGGATGCTCTTTCTGAGCTCCTTTGATAACCAGGGTTAATCAGCGTGGTTTTGAAGTCCTTTTTCACGTCCAGCCAAGTCTTTCTACAGTTCCCTCTGTTTGTGGTGGTGGTGGAGCACTGGAGCACAGCCTCTGCCTAACAACTTACGAGACACTGGAAAGCAGTTACTAAGCCAGCCTTCGGTTTTCTCCAGTCTAAATAACAAGCTGCTTTACTCTTCTGCAGAGGACATGTTTCCAACCTTTAATCATTAAAATCAAACAAACAAATGCTTCCTTGCGCAGCTTCTCTGCACTAACACAGAAAAGGCATTAACATCCAGGGGAAGTTCACTATGTTCAAAGTATCACCTTTTCAAGTTATTAATGTTTTCTGGGTTCATCAATGTCATCCTCTAAGAATTAGAGGATTTAATAAGTGAAAATAATATTTTTGCTAGTCTAATGGCCTAGCCTTCTAAAGTCCCTTGTTTATTAGCACCAACCATTGACTTCTCTAAACATCCACCTAAACTTCATTTAAAGTGGCTACCACCTACCATGTCCCTTACTAACAGACTGGGAAGAGGCATGGCTTTTTTGGTTTGTTTCCATTATGGCTATTTATTTTTTGTTTTTGGAACTTAATCCAGTGTCTGCCATTCTCAGAGCCAAAATGATCTTCCTTATTTCCAACAGAGATAGTAGACATACAGTAAGCCAAACCTGACCAATTATAATGCAATTTTATGCAATCACAGTTAACAAGTGGTATTCTTACTAATGCAGGGACTACAACATTTAAATCAATTGGAATATGACATTTTTGTCTCTTGAAACTCAAGTAATCTGAAATTTGTGTTTAATGGTAAAGAAATACTTTCATTAATTCTGTAGAAAGGGGCCCTTCACAAAATAATTCAAATAGATATATGCTTCATCGCTTTTTAGCTAGGATTGCAACTGTCATGAAGCTAGCATAATGGTTGTGGTCACTTTTGATAAATAACTCTTGAAGGAAGTTTTAAAAATGACCAAAATGAGTATGATTACATTCTTTTTTTTCACTGCAAGGACCCAAGCATCGCAAGTTTAAAGAATTTTTCTCCCATAAAGGCTGAAATTTTAATTTCTTCTGTTTCAGCTTCCTGGACAAATATCTCACAATAATGGAGTCTTGATAAGAAATTGATCAATACGATGCTAGAAAAATGCAGCTTTAAATAACTTCTTTTGAAAGACAGGTAAAGAAAGGTAATGTCTAATCATTGACAGATTAGCACCACTGCTATTTGTGGGTCCCACAATGTAAACACCAAAGTCACTAACACCAGCTGAACCTCCCTACACTCTGGCTGCAATTTAAAGAGAGCTTTCTTATATAGAAGTGTCTCACTTAAAAAGATATTCTGGCCTTACTTTCCCTACTAAAAATCAAATAAAAACTAGTTATAAATCAGTTAAAATACCAGTTATATGTATAAAATTCAGTTATAATAAAAATAAAATACTGATCATATCAGTAAAAGATTGGTGTAGTATTCCCAAAATGAAGTATGTCCTGACATTCTATCAACTTCAGGTCACCATTTAGTCAGACATTAGACAACCTGAATAGGCCTCATCTTGCAAATGATGAGAAGAACTAATAAGTTTTCAGGGCATTTCTTAATGCAGCTGAAGACGCATATTCAGAAAAAGTGTCAGTTCATTAGGATTGCACCTCAGTTTCTCTTGGCTGTGAAAACTAGGTTTAACAGTTAGAATAAGCCGATGTGCACTGTAACTTCCGTGGCTCCTAAGCACCATCTGATGTGACTGACCCACTCCTTAGCCACCTCATCCTTTTACTTTTCAGCTTTTATTTGGAGCACTGAGTATGTCAGCTCAGGTTACACATAGACAAGTAGTGAGATTCTCTACTCAGAAGCTTGCCAAGTCCTTTCCCCAGGCACAGACCCAGTAGAGAAGTGAGTCTAGTGAAGAGGAGACAACCAACAGCCTGAATACTGACCTCTTCAGGTACAAGTGGTTCTATCATGGGTGCATCCTCCTGCCTGGCGGCTAGTCGGACTGGGGAGGTAGAAAGCCTCTTTTCCCATTCATTCATGATGGCAGTGTCTGTGGAGGTTTCTAAAAAGGTTCTTTTCAGCTCACTAATATTGGTTTGATGTTTCATCAGGTCCTCTTGAGTTTTATCTAGCTCCTATATTCAGAACATAAAGAATCCAACAGTCAACATTTTACATTTATTTCCCTTTTAGCTCTCTCTCTCTCTCTTTTTTAAAAGCAATGTCAATTTCATTAGTAGTCAAAACAAAAGTTTTGATTATGGCTCATGACACTAACACAAACACTCTGGTGAAAATGTGCTATTTCCAAGGAAAATAGAAGAAAAATAAATCTAGTTCACGCAAGCATAAAAATTAAGAGTTTTAAAAGGTAAACTGTAAAGCATGTAATTCACATGTAACCAGAGAGAATTAAAATAAATACACACACAGGAAAAGAGAGAGGAAGGAAATCAGAGAAGGGTGAGAAGTCATCCCCACTTATTCATAGGTGAGAGCACACAGTTCATGCATCATGGTGAGAGCCCACAGGTACTCCACAAAAAGAAATCAACACACACAAACATGCACTGGTATATATGCATACCAACCTCTAACATAAGATTACTATGTTTGACATACACATTTTCACCCTTTATTCGCTTAATCAGACTATTCTGAAAAAAGTGGAGAAGAAAGGGAAAGGTAAGGGACAGGGTAGTCACTGGAATAAATGCCATCCTCCACACTGCACCAACACGGTAACTGTCTATGGAGCATGCTGGAAGACTTGAACACCACAGACGAACAATGGCTTATCACACATGATTTTTGCTATTATTTTATTTTTCATTTTCTACCTGTGCCTTGAGCTCTGCATCTTCCTCCTGGTCCGACTGCCAGCATCAAGAAAGAGTGGGAAATAAAGTCTTACCATGCAAATGACTTTGACACTGAAGAACTACGGTCTATATAAACCTGCCAGGACAGCCACTAGTCTGCTCTTGCTTACGAATGCTATTTCTTCTATGCAAACCACAACATTCTCACACATAAAGTACAAAGCTTCACAGGAAGGCAGGAGTAAAAGACTCCTTGCTCTGTGGGTCTTTGCCACTTCCACCTGGGGACTTCCGAGCGTGATGAGTGTACACACGTGCTTGGGAGGGGACAGGATGTGCCTGCTGGGCTGTCCTTAAACATGAGAAACGGTTCAGGAAGCATGGGGAGCCCCATTAAAATTCAAATTCATAAGAATGGCTATGATTCCCCAACAATAAGAACTCCTTTGTAGTGTATGAATCCTCACAGTAATCCTATGAGGTTAGTTATTATTATCACCAATTTGTAGGCCAGAGAACAGAGGCTCAAAAAAATTTAACAGAAGGGTTCTCACATCTAAAGACTTCTTGAAACCTGTAATTTCTGGAACCCGTATACTTAAGGAAAAAAACAACTTGGGAGGGCAGAAGAATTTCTGTGGGGTAAGAACATTTTTATAAAAATCAACCATCATTAATATTTTTGAGTTTTAAAAACTCAAAATGTAGACAGCACAATTTTTGAGTTTTTAAAAAATACAAAATATTTACCTAAATGCAATTTTGTTATCTTTTTTTTTTCTTCTAATTTCAAGGACATGTCTAATCTTTGAGCTGGTATCCGAGTACCCAAACTAGGTAAGTAGGCCAAGCCACATGTGCTGGGCCCAGAGTAGAACCATAGGCGAGAAGAGGGAGAGGCCTGAGCAGTGGCTGGAAGCAAGTCGGTCTACCTGGGTCTCAGTTTCCTTATCAAACAAGAGGACAAGACCGCCTACCCAGCATGCCCCACCCTGCACTGCTATAATGCTGGTTCCTGAAAGAAAAGGGGAAGTGTTTAAAAAGCATGAGAGTGCACAGGTAACTAACAGTGCAGGTAACATGCTAATTCTTAAGTGTGTGGCGGGTTCACACCTCTTTATTTATTTTTAAGTCTCACAATCTACCTGTGTTCCATGTATTTGTTTTCATGCTTCAGATGTTCTACAACAAAATTCTTAAGTGGTATATAAACTTAAAATATTATTAAAATATACTTAATTTATAGCACTTAGGATTACAATGAAATTTATTAAATATATTAACATGTAGCTACATGTAACTAATAATTCTTATAAAATCAAAATGTACTGTTATATTTTGTCACAGATATTAACTTTTTAATAAATTTACATAATTATAGAAATTTAAATTAGCAACTCATAGAGAAGATTTGAAAAACAACGAAAGCCACACACACACATACACACACACACACACACTGTATCCTAAAGATTTAATAAAATATTTAATATTAATAAAGATTTAATAAAGTATTATTTGGGGTTTAAATATATATCAGTATCCAGTCAATAAGCTCCTCCCCATTCATCATGGTTAGATATGTAAACAGCCTCTCATTTCAGATAGGGGACTATATTCAAAATAAGTATTATCAGTTTAGCCAAATGGTTCTCAAAATGTGATCCTAACTAAAATGGACAGAATCACCATGGTCTGGGGACTTTTCAGAAATGCAAATTCCCCATCCCCACCCCAGACCTCCTTCTGAATGAGAAACATGAGATGGGACCCTCCAGAGGATTCTGATTCAGGTCAGAGTGTGAGAACCACTGGTCTAGGCAATAGAAAATATTTAATCCTTACTGTAAAGGTTAGAAATCCTCTCCACCCTAAAAGCTAATATACAAAGTTCCTAAATGCAGAGCCACCATGCTCAGTTATCACACCAACCTCAGTGGCAGTGGTTTCCCCATCAGCCGCGGTGTCCGTGCGCTCGCTGTCGGTCTATAGATCACAGAAGTGATCAGGTTCCAGGAGGAAGGCAGGAATAGAAAACAAACCCATCTGGTTAAATGGGGCAGGCCAAAGAGTTCGTTCCCTTTCTCTGTGATCAAATCATACTACCTTCCCACAAGAACGCAGGGTCAAGCAAAAGCAAAAGCAAGGCCAGAGCTAGGTTTCCCCAGCGGAGTCACTCAGAGGAAGACAAGCGGCAGGCAGTCTGCGGGAACCGCAGAAACTGCATTTAGCCAATTTGACCCGTCTGGTTTTGTCTCAGGAAAACCAATTGTCCTTTTCCCCCCTTTTAACTAAAACCCCAAAGAAGATCTCCTAAAAATTAATGTAAATAAATTTGATGTCTATATATGTTTTTTATTCTAGTAATATTTCATACATTTGAAAGGTAAATTAAAATTATTTAAATAAAAAGCTACTATAACAGTCACTGGACTTTCAGCTCCTCATTTATACCATTTTGATCATTTACATCCACTGAGGACCATCAGGCTGTCTGCATTACCTAGTAATTACAAAGAGCACATGCCAGTGGCTCACAGGCACAGGTCTTCTGTAAGCAAAAATGTGACTCAACCTTCAAGTAGCTTTGCTAACTAGGAATTTTTAAGATTATATGATGTGTTTATTTTGTGCCATCCTCCAATATAAAGAGATATATCAAAGTATGTATTGAAACATCTCATCCTCTCCCCCCAAAACCCATGGAATGAAGCAAATAATAATAGTATTTTTTTAAAAAAGAGAGAGAAACATCTACTTGGAAACAAATAAAACAAAGCACAGCATTTGTCAGAGCCTAGGTTTTCAGGGGAGAATTATATCAGTAATTTCAGGACTGGTTTTTAATGTTTCAGAGGGTTATGATTTAAAAGAAAAACTATTTTCTCTGGAGGAGAGAAGAGCCATAGCCATTGAAACTAGGACAGCTAAATGCCCTAATACAATATTAACTGACTTTCCTTTCACAAACATCAACTAAGTATTATTAAATTCCCTTGAGCAAAGATGTGTTATTAATATTTTGAAAACAAAAATAAAAACTGGGGGCTCTAAGGTTGTGAATCTGCCTCAAGAGAACCTCTCGCTCCCAAGAACAAGGAATGTCAGGAAGAGATGATTGGGCCAGTGTTGTTTATGCTCACATAACTCTGCTAGACAGATTTCTTGGCACTAACCCAAACTTTCATTTTATATATTCCTAAAAGGAGATGGAATTTGTGCAGTGGTGCACCTGAGGTCACCATTCTGGCCACCTGTGACCATGTTTTAAGTGGAAAATAACTTTCAGTAGGTTGGTAAAGAAAGTGCGTTGATATATTTTCATGACCTGACCACCTTAGCAACCTCGGGGGTCGGGGGATGGCTATTAATTTTCTTGGGTGATCATTGCTATGGCATTACCATGGCTTTACCTAGTGACAATCTAGGGAAAGGTCAGTCTGAATTAGGGAGAGATAGGTTATTGTCCAAGGGTACAGAATAATTCAAAATCTTAAACTTTCAAGAACAAATAAGAATGACTTGTGCTCAGTACGCTAACTAATTGTGTCCAATATTTTAAAAGTTCATGAAAGTATTTCTCCTCCTACCTATTATTTTCCTGTGGCTTTAAATTTTACATCAGGAACTTTCCAAGCATCTTGGCTTTAGATTACAATTGTGGTGAAGTGTGAGGGGTCTGAGCTCAAATCTTGCTATTCAAATCTGTGACACACTGGGCACATTTCATGTTTTAATCCCAATTTCCATCTAGTAAAACGGTGAAAATAACCCTAACCATATCAAGCAACGGATACTAAGTTATTTATATGATGTCTGACATACACAAAACTAAAAATACCTAAAATAATTGTAAAATATACCACTATTTTTCCTAGATATACACAAATAAATAATAGCTGAGGCCATTCTAAACACCCTCAAATTCCTACTTAGCACCTAGTCAGTCAGCCACTCAACAAACAGAGTGCCTGGTCAATAAACAGTTAATAGTTAATAAATGAAGTTATAAAGGCTGAATAAAAGCTTTTACAGCAACTGTTACTAAACAAAACTGCAAAATGTATAGCACATCATGAACTATCACATAATAAATACTATGTTTACACAATTTAGAATGTTAAAATCAAATGATCAATTTTCCTCCAGATTTGATTTTATCTTTTTGTTTTTTGCATTATCAAAAAATTCCTCAGAAATTCACATGTAATTACATTCTATGGTATGATGAGCTAAATTCATCTTATGTTTCTTGATAGACAATTTGATATACTGTCCCTTCTTATTTGACCATTCTGAAGGTACAAAAGAAAAAAAATTATTGGCCAACAGCTTCACGTTTGAAATGATTAAGCCTTTCTACACTGGGCTTGACTCTGGAGAAAGGCCAGAACTAATTAATTAAGCCACCACAACGGGTGAAAAATGTAAGCAGTGATGATAAAATATTTAAGAATTATGGCCATTAGTTATTTTGCAAAATGGAAGTCACAGAGCTGACCTGTATGTTTCGAAGTTACCCAGTTTAGCTGCCAAAGTGCTTGAGGCCTGGAGAATGAAACAGGCCATGTAAACAAATGAGTATTTTTTTTTTAACTGAATGACCTACATATGAGTTCTCCAGCTCAGCCTGAACTAAAGTGCACAGCTCTGAACACTTGGCATTAAGAGATGACACTGAACAGATGGCCAAATATGAGGTCTTGTGTCAGGAGAGCTGCCCTAGCTGGCCGAGGCTGCAGAGGAGGGCTGAGGAGACTACAGCAGCCAGAGCTGGTTCAGGGTCTGAGAGGTTTGCAAAGACAAGGAGAGTCACGTACTGGGAAGCTCCAGTCCCGCAGCCACTAGCTTGCAATGAGTACTGCTGTGATTTGTTTTGCCGATGTAATGCAGACATGCCCAAGTTGAACACTGATGCTCATGCATTGATTACAACAAGATATACACCCTGGATTAGGCACAAGGTCTGTGTGGTTCGCTACACATAAGTTCAGTTATTCAGAATCCAGAAAGTATAAAATGGCAATCTTTCTGCTTTATATTAGCCTGATGACTAACTCCATTGCTAAAGGAAAAATCTATGGCCCAGTTGGAAACAGCTATAGTCTTTGTAGATAAAATTGTGTTCTTAACTGTTGTATGTTCTAGTCCTATATTATTTGATAATATTGCCACTGTGAGAAAGAGTGCTATTAAAGCCTAAAATTTAAACTATTTTTCTCTTAAAATATTTTCCATGTATGAAAATGGTTATACATATATTTGGAACTTAAGTCACATATGACCCAAGATCCTTGAAAAGGGCTCTTAGGCAATATTAAATTGAAAAGCTTAAATTTTTATTTCAAACATCTGTGAAGCCATTCCCATTTTTTTTTCCTTCTGCTGCAAGGAAATGGTCATAATACCACTAAATATAGATACTTACATACCCTGGCAATATTATATACTCACAGGTGCAGCTCACATGATTTCTAGCTGAGCAAAAACTGAAAAGACTTTCTTTTTATAATGTTGCTCTTTGTAAAAAAAAAAATTTTTTTAATGCCAGGAGTGCTAGGCTTGTCTCTTGCCCCCAAACCCTTCTTTTGTGGGAACAGAAGAGCTGGAGGGGTCTGGGAGGTGTGGGCAGGAGGGTAGTGACAGCCAGGTGCCTCTGTTGGCAGGTTCTGTTCTTCTCCCCTGTGCTGTATTTGAAGCCTGCAGAAAGAAAAACTGCTGGGCTGTTCATACAGCTATGGAGTGGTGGGAAAGGAGAGCAATTAAGAGGAAAAACTTCTGGCTACAATGTCAGTTCGCCCAATGGCTTGGATGAGGGACAGGAAACAGGTAGTATGACTTCATGGATGGAGGCTGAAAGCCACAGAAGCACATCCAGCTTCCCTGGCCTTGTCAGCCTGCCTGAAGGGGTGTGGGGTTTGGGGCTTATGGTGGATTTGAAAGAATCATCCAACGTACGCATTGGCATTGCTAGTACTGATGAAATTTCAACTCATTTTTACAATGTATAGAGACCTTATGTGAATCTTTTCCTGACTGTGCTTGAAAACTGGTATTTTCAATGGCAGTTCTTTCTGGTCCTGTTTCCAGCCCTACCAATGACTGATGTTATGTGTGCATTTTAAACTGCTCAAACCTCCTTTCTGACCCAAAACATCCATGGACTCTGGCTCCCCTCTGTGAGTAACAAGGACAGCCTGGCAATGACAACAGAAGATAGCAGTGGGGACATTTCAGAATCTCCAGGGATGAGACGCATTCACAATTTTGTGTCATCAGCTGATGATGATGACTCAGCTCCTATAGTGGTGTTCTGTCCCATCTCATCTTGAGGAGCATTTCTCTAGACCAGTGATTTTCAACCAGTGTGCTGCAAGAATTTTTACAACATGTAGCACCTGACTATTTAGTCAGGGGCACTGACCTCTTTTTCCTTCGATTGTCAAATAAAAAATGACAACAGCCAATGCCGACACAACAGCTGTGAATGAATCAAAATTATACCCATATTTTTTTGGTCAGATTGGCAAAAAATATGATTTTTGGTGTGCTGCAGAATTTTAGTAATTAGTTTATGTGTGCCATGAGATGAAAAGGTTGAAAACCACTGATCTAGACCATATCATGAAATCAGGATACAGTAAGTCCTCACTTAACATTGTTGATAGGGTCTGTGACTTTAAGTGAAATGATGTATAATGAAACCAATTTTACCATAGGCTAATTGATGTAACAAAATTCAAATTCCTATGGCATCTCATCAACATTATAAGGAAAAGATGTTGAATGAAACTCTATTTGAAAATCAGCTGTACATTTTAGTAACACTCCCTAAATCTAGACGAAAGTTATGTATCTATCTGTGTGTAATTTACTTTATTAAATGGTAACTGAACAAAACCGTTAACTTAGCCCTGATTGTTACACAGCTACCAGGTTATTTAGAATTGACTTCTGGTGGAATCCTTCACCACGTGTGTAATTCAGTGGGTAGCAGAATGATTCCAGGCTGGGCTCAGACTGCTACATCCACATGGTGTTGTGCCTAACCCTGGGGCTAGGTTGTTCCCCCAACACACAAAATCTCTTCACAGATTGGCACAGACAATAAATGAGGCTCTGAAAGTAGGACCACTATCGCAGCAGCCATCTAACACTGTTTCGGACCAAAGCCCCAACCACGACAGGGAAGTGTGTTCTATGCCGAGGTACACACCTCTTCCTCTGAACTGTCACTCGGGTCATTGTCTAGTGAGGCAGTCAAGGAGGCCGCCTTGGGCTCCAGGTAGCAGAGGCACATAGCCAGAGGGAAGGAGAGAGTGAGGGCATATGGCACTGAGAAGGAGGCGGAGAGCAGAAAGAAAAAGATGAAGAGGAAACAGGGTACGAGGGAGGGTGAGCGAATCGGGAGATAATGCTGCAAGCTCTGGGGGAGGAGGTTGGTTTCAGACAGGTTGGGAAAAGAGAGGTACCCATCGTCATCTAGAAGAGAAGGGAATGACTCAGGGAGCTGCAAGGAGAAGGAGAACAGGGTGGCCCCTCTGCCAGTTTGCTGTTTGTAGCTAAAAGCCACATCTTGGTCCCCTAAGTGTGGCTTCCCTTTGCCGTCAGAGTCCATGGAGGGCTCTCTGGGCGTGGGCAGGGTGTCTTTAGAGGGTTTGAAACCTGGAGGCTGGTGGTCATTCTCCTTACACCTCCTACGGAGCTCTGTGGGAGATGTGGGGGGACAATGGACTGATGAGGGGGACAGGGGACATGAGTCAGTGCCAAGCCCAGGTGACTGATGTGAAAGAGACAGAGAGAGACAGAAAGCAGCAAACAGAGGTGCAAAAGGACAAAAAGAAAACTGCAATTAGTCAATTTTCTTATGGGTATCAATATAAAATTGTAAAACAAGAATTTCAGCACTAGGGTTATTCACGAATTTTAAAGTACTCAAGCTGCATGCCAACGCTGCCACGGATGGCTACCGTTTCCCCGCCAGACCATCAAACCGAGGTGGGTTTCTTCAAATGGTCAGAACGAAGGTATCTGGGGCAATCTCAAAGTCTACATGCTTCACATGTTCAAAACATCTTGTTTAGATCAACAACTCTAGAAAGTTTTAGGGTTTTGAGAGTAAATATAACTCTGAAAACTTAAAATCAAGACTTTGAATAGCTTCTCCTGATCTCTAGCTAACAGATCTGTTACTGTGGTTCAGATGGATTAAAAATAAAAATGAATGCAAATTTTGATTATGTAAAAAGAAATCTGTAGCATTACCTTTCCCTGGTTAGTCAATTACATGCAAAACAGGTGAGCTTCCAAATAAAAAAGTTTCTGGCCCCACTCCTATGTGACAAGCAGTTCCAATTAGTAAATTCAATAATTAGCATTTTAGGAAGTCTGACTCTCCACAAAAAATTGAAGTTCCTTTGAAAAGTCTTATTTTGACTCATTTATTTATGATGTAAATAGAACTTAAACTCCTAGTGGTTTCAACAAGCTAACAAGCAAAAACAATATGTTTTCTGGTAACAAGTATCTATTTGTGGGCCATGAATTATAGAAAAATATAATTTCCCAGTCTTCACGTTTTTCTTAGCAGTTAAAACGTATGTTGAACTCCCCTGGTTTGAGCTCTCAAGAGAATGACAAAGGCAGGCAACCCCACAAGGTGCGTCCCAGTGAGCTCCGGCTTCTGTGGGAAAGTGAGGCTCTTCAGGCCCCCTCTGGGCCTGGCATCTGAAAGGCCACCACGAGTCTCCTCCGCAGGCGGCAGAGGGCTGCTAAGTGAGGACAGGAAGAAGGAAAGCAAGCAAGTACCCCAAAGGACCTGGGCAAAGCGCTGAAGCTGCTGCAGCACAGGAGTTCAGTCGAGGTCACACAGAGCCTGAAGATAATTAGACTTCTGCTGCTCTCTGTGACACTGAGTGTGTGTGTGTGTGCGCGCGCGCGTGCACACAGACTCATGTTTTTCCCAGTGACCTGACAGCATGGAAATGACCTAACCTCCTCTGTGGTGGCTATCTAATTCTGACTTGGTAACTATAGGGACAAGGGGTAAGAAAAGGCACAAATGAAATTATATCATGGATATATTAGAATTTAGAATTGTCTTTTTAGTATTAGACAAGTATGTCTTTTCCTAACACTCACGTGACACTAAGCATTGTGTTTTAAACAAGACCCTGCTCAAATCTCATTCAACTGAGAATAATGTATAAATTATAAACTGACTTCTGCATGTAGATTATTGTTCCTGCAGTGGCAAAGGCCACCCACTCACCTGGGATGATCATAGCTGGGAAACACGCTTCCTCTCAAAGGAATAGAGGGACTGTTGTTCAGTAACTATTTTTAGTAATACATTTCATTTTCTTTAAAAAATAAGTACCCTCTATGTTACGTTTTGAAGAAGAAGAAAAATTAAGGTGTAAGCTTTCCTGTTGCTTATTAACGTGGTTCTTAAAAAACAGCTTCGCACTAGAAAATGAAGACAGGCAACCACCTACTTCAGCACTCGGTCTGGGTCACAGCCCTTCTGAGTCAGAGTGCTGGCTTCCCAGAGACTCAGACTATGACAGTTCTAGTTTTCTCTGCCGATTTTATTTTCCAATGGCATAAATGGAACAAAGTAGCGAATGCTTCATGCTATGTCATATGTGAGCAAATTGCTGATATTTAAAATCAAATAAAGTGAGACTGCCTGGATCTGTTTTTGGAGCAAACTAAGTCATTTCTATGCGCCACTTAATCATATTTTCACATCCATGAAAATCGTATGTTGGCATGGGTGATTTTAAGAAATCATGGAACACATTTGCTGTTCAGGTACACTATCTTTTCTTCATGTCCTATTTAAGACCTGCCTTGACTTAACTGAAAGGAAGAGTATAAAAACAAAATTCAGAACAAAGTGCATTTTAACAGCACAAGTGATCCTAACAATTTTGCTGTCATAACCTATCCTGTTTGGCAAATAATTTTATCCTAAAAAAGAGACACACTGGGTCATTTGGAATATCCTACCATAACTATAACAATGACAGGTTTTTGTTGGCATACCCTTTTAGCTATCACTGTTAAATTCTTGTCAAAAGGCGTATTTTTCTATAGAGTCCCAAGGAGTGAGTCCCTGCATATCAATCTATATCTGAAGAGCCTATGTGCAAAATAATATTTTTGAATCAAATTTACACAGGTTTTAACACAGCTGTAAGTTATACAGCATTTTTATTCTGCTATTTCCTTCCACTCTGTACTGTGCACACTTTTCCCCCACTGCTGTTATTATGTATAAACCTCCCAATGTTGTTGGACTTTCACGGAGCCGCCCTGCTACATACAAAACCCATAACCAGAAGTAGATTATCTGCTTGGCTTCTGACTTTTATTTTTCTAAAAAGTTGCTGTATGGTGCTGGACCACCAAAAATAAACATCGCATTTTAAAAAAATTAAATTTTGGGTAAAATGAAGTTACAAAATTTAATGGAAAAAACACCTTGGAGAAGTTGCTGCCAAATTCACTTTCCATGTTCCCTTGCCACCTTCTGCCTTAATATCACTTTTCAAAACATGCCCAGTCACTACTTTGATGAATAGATTATAATCACAAGAATAAGAAAGGAGAAACACTATAAATACACAGGCTATGGTCACTCAATTACCTGCAGTCAGAAGAATGGCAATGTCATTATACTACAAAAATATACACTCCTTGGGTAGGAGAATGGGGCCAGAAACAAAGAAAACAGCTTTAGTGATAGCTCTGAATGTGAGCCCAAATAGAAAAGTGTAATAGGCCAGTAAAAGTACTTTTAAAAAATACAGATAAGACAGCTGTTGAAAGTCTAATGTAGCACAACAGTTGTTAAATTAAAAAGGCTCAAAAAGTTCAAAAGGAATCTTTCAGAGGAAAAATGTTGACACAGGAATAATTTAAATTTGACCATAAATGTGACTTAAGCTCTGGCTAGTGTTGCTCAGTAGTTAGAGCATCGCCTATGCACCAACGGGTTGTGGGTTCAATTTCCGGTCAAGGGCACGTACCTGGGTTGCAGGTTCAATCCCAGCCCCAGTCAGGGTGCACGTGGGAGGCAGCCAGTCAATGTGTCTCATATCAATATTTCTCTCTCTCTCTTATTCTCTCTCTCTCCCCACTCTGAGCCCCCTCCCCACCTCTACTCTCTCTAAAAATCAATGAGAAAAATATCCTCAGGTGAGGATTAACAACAACAAAAATGACTAAGCTGAAATCTGAATTAGCCTAAGTCTTAACACATTCCTGACTTATATTCTCAGTACTATTTAGCAGTTGTCTAAAGTTTGAGCAAGCTCTAGGAGGCAGCCTGGGAGATGTACCTTTCCCTCGTGCCGTACTGCTGTGACCGGAGTGGCTTCCTCCGCCTTTTTCCGTCTGTCCTCTTCCTCATCACGCTCCTCCTCGGCCTTTTTCTCCGGAGTCACAGTGGTGATCAAGTTGGTCTGAGAGATGCCCTTTGTTGTGGTGTACTGGCCAGTACCAACCTCTGCAGCAGACACAGAATCCTTCATGTATATTTCATGGTTCTCATTCACTGATGCTAAAAGCAAATACAATTGAAGAAATTAAGTCTGAAATCGTTAAGTACAAAGACAGATGAATACCACTAACTGTCCCATTATAAATACCCCTATAAAATACCAGATTTCTTCAAAAGACAAGTCAGCGCTGCAGGTACCTTCTTCTAAGTGCTACCCTAGACTCCACTTTCTATGTCATCTGCATTAGTGTTTCAAATTGTTTCAAATGCTTCTCCCTTGAAGCCACCAGAACAGTTTCATCCCCTCTCAGGCTCCATGGTGAGGATGCATGTCAGGTGGATATGAGTATACGGCGGGAGGCTGAGCTGCCACAGAGCCTGTTACCCCACAGTAACTGTCTGGGTACCAGCACCAGACACTTAGTGGCAAGTTCCAAAACTAATAATATTTTCAGTAAACAAATAATCTAGTACACTTGACTTTGAACATATCTTTGGAAGTGCCATTTACCAAGGAGCACTGAAATAAAAAAAACAAACAAAACTGTTATTATTAATAACGGCTGAAAAGTCTCCTACAGTATACAAGCCACAAGGGTAATAAAAAAATTAACCGTCTTAGCAGAGATTATAAAAGTCAGATGGAAATTCCATTAACTGAAGTACAGAAATATTTTAATTTCTACTGCACTTTAAAAAGATATGCATACATATCTACCATGATATGCATATATTCGTTCATCTCTAATGTTTGGGAAAAATGAGACAAACATTGCTAATGAAATGCAGGCAAAGGCAAAGCATGCAAACATAAGAGATATAAGATACAGCCTTTCATCCCAGCTAAAATGTCTTAGTGAAAGAGATGTTTATTTCAGTTAAATTTTTAAAAATTGATACTCATTATTTTAGGTTTTAGATATAATATTTCAGAAACTTATAAATGCTGCTTTTCCAATACACAGTAGCTAATTACAGGCAAAATGTAATCTGCTTTCATATTTATATAAGTGTTAAGAAAATATTTCTGAAATCCTTTTAATAGTAAATCATTTCACTAAAATACCTTCACTAAGATATTTTATGTCTCGTTATACTGATGAAAAAGCTCGTATGAGACAGTTTCCTAAGGGGCCAGTTGGGCTGTTCTACAGAAGATGCAACCTTGCAAAAAGCAGTTTATATGCCAACATGCAGCCATGGCCCCCGGCTCAGCAGCACAGAAACACATTAGAACTGACAGGACCCCAAAGAGTAGAGACAACACATACTAACATCACTTTTGGGCAGGGAGGAAAAGACAGCATGATATTAGTGCATTTATTTCACAATTGTCTTCTCAGCAATCATTATCACACAAAAGGTCATGAGGTAAACAAAAGTCACAACACATGTGTTCCCTTGGGCACACATCACTGAACACAGCGGATGGTATTCAGGAAAAAAAGTGTGAATCTACAAAAGCTCCTCCAACACTGACTTATAGAACACACAGTTTACAGAGATTCTCTACAGGAGGAAGAAAAGCTTCAATGTTAACATGGATATGTAAGCACGTTAATCCAACCTGAAATAGTCCTAATAAACATTTTATTCCCAAAGTATGGCTCTATTAGATATCCTGAAAACAGGAAACTCATAGGAGATACAGAATGGTAATAAAGTCCTAGTCTACCTCACAAAAGCCTATCAAGATAATTATCAATATAATTATTGAGATAATTATAATTACATCTATAACAGGAGTGCTCTGATATACGTCTTATTCAGTTTTACAACAAACCTGTCAGAGGTGGCCTTACTCCCAACTTGACGCATAAAAACCAGACAGGGAGAGTTTAAATCATTCACCAACTACTGCCAGGTAGAGGAACAGGACTTCAGCCTGGATTTACCTGCGCCAGGTGAGTGTCCTTTCCACTTCACTAGTAACATACATAACATAGCACTAAGAACTCAATTTTCATTTCTTCTATAAACTGTTTATAACATCATCCATTAGGAAAATATAGTCTTTTTAATCAGGGGTTCAGGGAGTCTGTCACCCCACCAACAACACTGGGGTATCATGAACTGTGGCAAGCCGTGGCAGAAAGGTAGGGAGGAAGGGGATCCCAGGTACTTTTAATGTTTACTTATTTTTACTTATGTTTGTGCTTATTATTAAAATTGTACACATGCCAGAAACGTCTAACTGTGTATGTGCACAGGATAGGTCTTCTATAAAACAACTCATCTCCCGGTGCTCTGTGAGAAGACGGGGCCTGGCCATGGCTCGGTTCCTGAGCTAAGTACCACCTCTAGCTGCCATGTCTGGTAGCAGAAAGCAGATCTGCATGTAACTACAGATACAATACAAAACCGTCCCACAAAACAAAACCTACTGAAAACTCATGATTATGCCACTCCTTAAACATAGTATTTAAGTGATTCTCTCCCTGTTTTACTCATATATTTGACTTAATAGTAGATAACATTTACACAGTAATACTCTCCCAGTCCATCTGGTGCAGTAATTAATATTAACCAGGAGGATTTAACGTAAAGCCCTTTGCTGTTATTTGAATATCATCCTTTCTATAAGCCATTATGTACTGACTGATAAGTCACATTTTATTTATAAATTTTTTTTTTAGAAAAAGAGATACATTTAATTTACAGTTGTTTTTTTCTGAAACAAATGGTCTAAGACAAACCTGACAATCATTTAAGATCTGTTGGCAAGGAAACCAGATTACTCATAGAGTATGTGACTACCATGTATGGAATGAGAATCTTTCTCCAAATTCAGAGTACCAGCTTAAGAAAGCTATGTTCTTCATTCCCTAAGCACCAACCATTCTTTTAGATAATTTTATATAAATCGATAGTAACAGACATTAGACTCACAAAGGCACTTTTGCTTTTGAGGATGGGGGTTAAATCTGGCCACTCAGCCACAGACCAAGAAGTAAGTGCTTTCCATTTCTCACTATCCAAGAGGATCTATGTTTATTGAATGCTCATGGTGGCTTCATCCTGTTGGGCAGCCACAAGAGCGATGCCTACCTCCATCCAAGCTTCGAGACATGGTGTAACGCTTGCTGGATGAGCGTTCGAAGTAAGGGGCTGGGCGATCTATCAGTGCGCTGGCTCTCCTTGTTTGGGCTTGTGTTCTGCCACTATAACGAAACTTGGAACCCAAGGTGAGAAATTTCTTTGGAGGTGCTTCTGGTAACAACAATCTAAAGATATTAAAGAAAAAACAACAGAAAGAATATTAAATCAAATAATAAGAATGCTAACTTTTCATTCTGTTCGGAAAGGTAAAATGCTCTGTGTACTAATGCAATTAAATGAACCTGATTTTATAAGAAAAAATAATTCACACAGTACAAATCAACTAGGGATGCTATTGAGGCTATGAGCAAAACGAGGGTTGGGTAGGACTGGTGAACTTGAATATCTCATGTCACTGGAGAGTTTACGGTTCTATAAACCCCAAGAGCAAATTAAGTAGGTGATGGTAATGAAGAACAGTGATGATTTGTTATTGTGTAGACACAACTCCGGTGGCCCTAAGGAGTCCAGGCTATTGAGAAATTATTGAAATAATAAGAAATGGATCAGACACTTGAAGGTAAGAAAGGGATTGGACACTTGAAGTGGCTATCCTATAAAAAGAATGAAAAGACGGTAAAAATAATAAAGAGGATATGGGATAGATAAATATAGAAAAATTAAGGAAAACCCTTCATATTTAGTTAAGAGTTCTTTTAGGATTTCTTATTAAGAAATCTGGTGACAACAAACCTGAAGGAACAGAAAGGATATGCTTCCACATTCTTCTTCTCAACAACCTTTCTCAGTATAAGTGATTCCAGGAATTTTAATTTTTCCTTAGGAAAAAAGTAAAATGATCTCTCCCTACCTGAAAAATGTATGGTGTTCAACACATACTTTCCATAAACGCTTGGCAGCTCGATGATTTGGCAGTTTAAACCCAATGGTACTTTCAAATTGTTCAAACTATATTTAAAAAACATTGAAGAGTAGAATCAAGATAAAAATAATAAATAACAGAAAAGCAAATCATTTAAAAAATCATAATACCACCCATAATTTTTTTCTTTACTCAATCATTTGCTATATGCAGAATTCATGCTATACATATTCATTCATTAAAAAGAAAAAAAAAATCTTCTTAAATGCTGCAGATACAGACAACCACATTATGCATGTAGTACATGTTTCATGTGCCAGTGTGGACCTTATGAAAAGTAAATGCAAAAAGAATATTTGGATTCCTTCCAGGGATCAATTTGTCTGGATCTCAGTTTTAAGCCTAATTTTCATGGTTTCTCCATGACATCATGACGTCAAATGGAAGATACAGAAATAAACAAAAGGTTTACAGTATATAGCATTCTCAGAATGACATTTTCTCCTGATATTTGGTCTGAAAATATGCATGTATCCTAGGTATTTGATGACTTGGTATCAGGTATTGCTGATATTATTTGTGCATTATAAAATGGATCATCATGTTAAATGCTACCATCTCTCAATATTATATATAAGATTAGAGATTGGGAGAATACATTTTCATATTTCTCAGCATGTATAGTTCAGATAATACTCTATCAGCCATTTGATTTTCTAAGGTGAAATATCTGATTTCCTGAGTAATTATTTTAATATTATTGTAGACACTTATTAATTTTTTTATTTTCTAAGGACAGTATGCATCAAGCCACCAGAGGGCAATCATCTTAAACAGTAAAGGGTTTCCAAAAGAACACAAAACAAACAACCTGACTACTGATACAATCAATAGTAAAAGTAATTTATGTGACAAAGAACCAAGGAGAGGGCTCCTTTGCATGGCATATAAGATATACTTATGCTTGACCTCTATTTCTTGTTTGTTGAGAGGGACTGGTTAGGGAGAAGACTGGGAATACATCACAGATTACTCTACCTGCAGTTGCCTTTCCCAATTTCTTACTCACTCTGGAAGTTCATGTGCATACTGGTCATGAAAATCACTGCTGTCCAATGGGCCCAATCAAATGACAAAGCTAAGTACTATGGATCTTAACTAAACCACCCCCCATTTACTGATCCTTCATCTAATATGTACCACACATTATGCAAAGGTCAAGGGTTTTAAAAAATAAGAGTCAACTTGCTCCTGCAAGAAGATGGGAAGATTCTCTCAAGGATAATAGAGGCCCCTGCACTTTTTAATGTCTTCTAGCTCTTTGTGCTTTGTATTCATTTCTTGAAACCTCTTCAGAGACTTCATGCCACCAGTACTTTCTTCTCACTCATTCTTCTCAGCCTATAAATATGCTTGTAAAAAAAAGAAAGGGAACAACTTTCCCTGAGCCAGCTTCTGTCTGAGCCAGAGTCTTCTCACTCCTCACTGCTAAACGTCTGAAGAAGCCTCGGCTACTTCGCTCCTTACCTTACGGCAACCTGCCAGGTGCTCCTAACTGCTTCCTCAACTCTTCAATGTCTCAACAGGGTCTGACTGTCAACTCTGAGACACTTTTCTCAGTTCTTATTTGTACTTTCTCTGTAACATTTGGCACTACCAGTTAACCATGCACTCCTAGTCTCATCTCCTTGTCACCTGTGACTGATTCTGTCCCTTTTTACTTTTCTCTAGCTATTATTCTTAATCTCCCTATGTTTCCTCTTTGGCCTACCTCTCTCTCAAAAAGTGGTCTCCCCCACATTTTTTGTTATAGGGCCTCTTTTTTTTCTTTTTATCTTCTCTTGTTATTTGGATAATTTATTACATGCCCAAGGCCCTGATTAAAATGTATACAGTTGATGACGTTCTTCAAGCTCTATATTTCTTACTGTGTAAGAATCACCCCCTGAAAATTCCCAAAGGCATTTCAATCTTTGTTTCTGAAATCTACCCCCTTATTTTCTCTTGTCTCAAATATCATTTCCATTGCCTTCTCTTGGGCAAGCCAAAAACGTCTGATTATCCTGGACCGTCTCCTCTTTTTATCCTTCCTCCATCCTGTCTCCAAAACCTACTGTCTGCCTCTGAAATCTGTCTCAGATTTGCTCCTTCCATTCTATTCCCAGAGCTTCTGCTCTAGTTTAGGTCTTATCACATCACATTACTAAGTAGCTTAATTTTATTAAGAAATCTGTCATTCTGAAGTATTCATCTAGTTATGTCACGTCCTGATTTAAAACCTTCCATGGCTCACTGCTGTCTGCACTGCTCCAATTTTCCCTGCTGCCTCTCACAACTGTGTTCATTCCATGTCCATGGGATACTATCTCATCTGTTTCTATCATGGCATAATTCCAGTGTGTGAGTCTGCTTCTCTGCTAAACATAAAGTCCCTTAAGGACAAGATCATATTGATCTTTCTATTTCCAATGCCCGACATGGATGGTCCCTAGCAATATGAGATGCTTGCTTAATAAATGTTTAATAAATACAAATATATACAAATGTTAAATTTATAACTGATATATATATAGATATAAAAATATAAATATATTTATATAAATATATTTATATAAATATATCTATATATATATCAGTTATAAATTTAACATGCAAACTTTAGGACATATTTTTATAATTACTGCAATTTGGGTATTTGCATGAAAGGCTTACAGATTATTTCAATCTTCATAGACAAATATGACCTTATATTTACACTAAAAATGATTGCTTGCTTTGTAGTCTGATATTTTAATTGTACTTTCCACTCATGGGTAGGCTGATTTTGAAGACAGGAGATAATTCTATATTATGCCAGACAATGTTCAGAGACATAAATGAGATGCAATTTTAGGGCTTTGCCTCCATTATATCAATCATATTGATCAGAGATGGAGATATATATTATCTATTAGGCAGATAGAGCAGATATTTACTACCTATTATGAACAAACCACTAAGGAGGAGACAAATATAAGTCAATCACAGATGCTATTGTCCAAGAAATAAGGATTAGTTAACAATTTTGACTGTTTCATTAGCCTCTCTGATTTGAGTAAAAAAGGTGAAAATATATTAGGCTGTGGAACATTTACATAATTTACATTCTGTGTCCCTCATTCTAATCTTTCTTGTACATCAATGCACATTATCTCTAAGCTATTCACTTAAGGATGCTATCAGATTTGGAGGACAGAGAAAGATAGCATAGAGACAACAGAACAGGTAGAAAGAAATCTATCCTTTATTTGCAGAGGTTTAATGACTAAGACCTTCTTTTATTCCACAGCTTGAAATATACAAAACATTATTCAGGAATCTGGATTTTACATTAAAATATGTCAAAACAACCCTTTCAATTAATGTATGCCATGGGAAAAATGGAAATAAACTAATAAAAAAAAAAAGAACATTTTATTTCTTCCTGTTTATTGGATAAACCTACAATAAATTCTCTCAGGCATTTAGACATAACTCACCAACCATGTCCTGAGAACTTGTGAGCAGGTAATTAAAATTTTTGTTTGCTATTGGGTACCTTTTTTCCCCAATGTATGTGCAAATGTGGGGGTCTACTTACCTCTCCTGGGCGGATCTTGATGTAAAAGTTGTTCCGTTTGTATGAAATTTTTAGAACCTTAGGCCAGGCAAATCTATTTATCCGCAGTCGGTCGCGATATATTAACAGGCCACTCGCACAAACTCCTAACATAATTTCTACTCCTTCAGAATCCTGGAAAATAGCAGCAAGAACAGAGGATCTATATCTCATTTGTTTCCACTTATAGCTGGGTACAATATTTAAGCCTCCATGACAGAACCTATAATTGACTACCTGTAGCTCTAATTTAAATAAGAAAAATACTGCAGCCATTTTAAAAACATTACCACTCAATAATAGCCTTGTAATGAAGATATTACTATGGAGATTTGTTAGAGTGAAATCTGCTCACCCAGGTTTCTTAGACTTACAACAGAAACACTGCACATAAAGAAGGCCAACCGGTGAAAGTGTCAATAACAGAAATAATGGCCACAGTTCTCAGTTATGGAGTGCCAAGCACTGCCCTAACACTTTATATATATAACTCTTTTAATATTCACTAGGATATTTTGGGATAGATGCTATTATTATTCCCATTTCACAGACGAGAAAACTGAGGCATAGAGAGGTTATGTATCTGTCCCAGTTGAATGCAGGCAGCCTGGTTCCAGAAGTGGCACTCTTAATGAATATGTATACTAAGAGAGGGGCACTATCCTTTCTTATGAGTATTTTAGAGTTCGTTACTTTTAAAAGAACCTCAGTCTTTCTTATATACCATTATTGTAGAGTAAAATTTAAATATATAATAGTTTTTTTCCCTTACGTATGAACTGTACGTCTCCAACAGGCCCCCCAACACACATGCACACACTGCCCAGTGGTAATCACACTTAACAATATAAGTCACATAAATAAAGGTATATTTTATATATGTGAACAATCTTTTATAACAAAAGTGGGATCATGCTACATTTGCAATTTGCTTTGCTATATATTTAGGTCATTTCCTAGGGATGTGTGATGCCCAAAGGTCCCAGAGGTCTTCAGAGATGTTATGTCATGTTTGGGAGACAAAGTATAATATATGCACCATAAATGTATTCAGGTCAAATTAGTGTAGAATGAACATCTGCAGTGGCCTTGAGTGGGGTACAAACTAAGGACAGAGGCAGGACTGTGTGTGAGGCATAGGCTCCATCCCATCTCCCTGCTCTCACTAGCTGTTGGAAGCAGGGGGTACATAGGAGGCAAAGCTGGGGGCGTTTGTCACCTTCATCAGCAGGGCTGTCCCCAGCTGAGTCACTCTGTGGCACGAGCAAAGATGGGAGAGGAAAATAGCAGAATCCATAAAAGAGATTCTGACTCATCCTATTGTTGAAATTTACTTCCTAAAGCCTGTCAGTGAAAGGTACAAGATTAATATTTCCAGAATAAAAAAATTTAGTCCATCTCTGGAAAATATAAGTTTATAATTGCTTTAAAATAAAACAGTTTACCTTTGAAATATATCATTCCATTAGGTAGGAAGTTACAAGAATGAAAATACTTGATGGCAGGATATTACAACATAATAAGATCTGAGGAGAACTCTAAGACCAGAAACTGCCTGCCACTTACCATGGGCTCGACTTTGAAAGAGCGATATAAAGAGCTATAACCTGGTGCTGAGGAGTAGCTGGCATTGCTGGTCCTTTAGAACCAGCTCGTCTGCCACATGACAGTTCAGAGGTGACCACCTTATGCCATGAGCAGAAATATAGGCATGAGGGAGGACCATTTGAGTAACTGCTCTTTGATTTCCTTTCTTTTTGATAAAGAACATAAAGTTCAGAAAATATGCCTTTGAACTAAAGATGGAAAGAACATTTAAAACATTTTTCATTATTTTATCTATTTTTAAATCACTCTTTAGTGTCTTTGAAAGAAAACAGAATCCTTTCACTGGGAAGATCGGGAAGGCTCCTTTGCTCCTTTACTTTTCTCCTGTGCCCTCCCCAACGGGAACTTCTTTGTGCCCCATATCTTTCTGTGTGCACAATCGGTACTGCAATAAACTCTCACCACCTTCCTCCTCCTCATGACTGCAGCTGGATGAGAGCAAGAGCTCTAATCTTTGTAGCCACACAGTCAGGACAGTGCCTACCTAGCATGTGTCAAGCCATTTTATGTTTGGCAAATGAGGAAAGAAAGTATCAGTAAGTTTTAAATTGGATGGTGGTCTTCATTTTATTAATCACAAAGCAAAAAAAAAAAGAAAGACACTTTTTTCTCTCTCAAGTGTTTGGCCACAGCCCATAGTATTAAGGTTAGTTTGGTACGTCTTTTATGGTGAAAGCTCTATTGGCATTCTCTCTTGGAGACATGTGTGTTTGCCCGCCAGTGAACACATTTAATGCTCCCTTTATCAGGGGGTACTGAAGGAAGACCTGGATAGTCTCAGTCTATTGTAATTAAAATAAATGTGCATGCTATTCCCTTAATTTAAAATCACTGTTTAGCCCTGGCCAGTTTGGCTCACCAGTTAGAGCGTCGACCTGTGGTCCAGGGAGACCCAGGTTGGGTTACCGCTAAGGGCACGTACCTCGGTTGTGGTTTGTCCCTGGCCCTCCCACTCTATCTGAACAAAAAATGAAAAAATGTCCTCAGGTGAGGATAAAAAATTTTAAAAATCACTGTTTAAACTTTGCCATCCTTCATTATCACTTGGTCCATGGGATATTCAATATGGACTTATATCTACCTTTTAGAATCTTGTATGAAATAAATGACTCTCACAGAGCCTATTCAGACTGACATTAGATGACAAACAAGCAGAGACAGTCTTCCCAAGAGAGAAAACAAAGCATTTAGAAAAAGGTTTCCAAAACAAGGGAACTCCATCTAATATGGTATTTTATACAGAGCTGTGGAGTTCAAGATAGCAATTCAGAATTTCTAAATAGGTCCTAAAGCTCAGGGTCTTTTATACCATCCATAGAAGAAAGGCATCTCAGTTATGACCGGAAATTAGCTCTAATTTAATTCAGTAAATTTCCTTCTTAAAATGATAGAGTGTGGCTGCATGAGAAAATAGAGTCCATAACCAAATTATGTTATACTTAATACTCAGATAAAATACTATAACAGGCTGCATTTGCACTCCCTTAATTCTTTCTTTTTCAATTGGCATAAATTCAAATCATGTTATTGCAGCTATCTATTTTAATTCAGTAGTGATAGCAATGTTAAGTGATGGAAACACTGATATATCCTGAGTTGTACTTTCCTAAAAGCATGCCCTAATCTTTCATCTATTTGTTTTTCCTGGGCAGTAAGTGACTCATCATGTGCAATTCAAAATTAGCTCTCGATTCACTCAAATTTTTAGGCCATCTTCATTTCCTTCTTGTTTCCTTATCTTTTAGTCACCTAAGGAAAAACTCTAAGAGAAAATAGTGTATGTGTGTCCTTATTTTCTTTTTAAATTCTCATCCTGCCTTATATCTGGCATAAAATACAAACACCTTTGTTCTCTGACTGTAAAGTAAGTAAAAAAAAATATAATAAACTGGCAAGTAAATAGAGCTACACCTGCTGTTCTAATTATACACAAATGTCAAAGACCCTGGCATAATGCACCAGCCCATCCCTGGGATAAGCCCCAGCCAAGTCTCAGAGATTATGCTAGTTGGTGCTCGGGCCTTCAGCCGTTGGAAGTGCTTATTCTGTGTGATGCACAAAATGATCACAAACATAACCAGTCAAACCTGCATTCACTTAATGGCCACTATTTTCTGGTCCAAACACCATCCAGGGAGCATCAATAGAACCTACAGATCATAGATTTCCCTCCCATGGGACCTCAGGGTTGCTGAGCTGTTTGCCTGAACAGAGTTAGCTGAAACTTCATTTCTTGGCCCCAAACTTGACTGTGTAAGATAGTAGCTTGACTAGAAGCCTGTAACCTGTATGTTCTTGTGAGTCCCAGACTATGAAATTGGTAACTACTCTGTGTATTAGAAGTAAAGGCATATTCCCATAACTGGAGCAGTTACCTTGTCAGCCCAAATCAGAATAAACTGCCCCTGAACTTCAAACACTGATCTTTTAACACTGCTTAAGTACCAGAATCCATCCCTAAGATCCTAACACATTTCTTATGTTTTGATGATAACAGTTTTCATAAAGTTTGCCTGTACTTCCGCAGTACTTCATTCACAGCTGTTCCAATAACAGACTAACACTCATTCTCTCACTGCTGAAAAATACAATTCTATAAAAAGTATGACATGGACTAAAAGCTGCTCTATGCATCCTTACAACCTCCCCCCTCATACAGTCTAATTCCAGCTTCTTGCTTCCCAAGAACCAGAGCCAAGACACAGCTTTAACATTTCACCAATCACCCATCAACCAGACAATCCTTAGCTTGGGTGGTTAATTTTAGTTGAACTTAAAAATAACAATCTTATTTCAGAGGACTGGTTATTTGTCAGAATACCTCAACTTTGTAGATGGAGTTATTTAAATTTCACATGAATTTACTGAATACCTGATGAGTAACCACAACAGGGCCATAAATAGCACTTTACACATAATAGATATGACAGTTGGGTCTTGGACAATCAGCTAAGTTTAAACACATAGACAGAAAGGAGCGAGAAGGTACGAACAAAAATGAGCACATTCTGGCAAAGGGCAGAGACAGGGTTTGGCAGGAGCAAAGGGCACACACATGTCAGCCCAAAGTGGGAGATACAAGTGAGACAGGGAAGGCAGGGTGAGCTCAGAGCTTGTGGTGTGAAGATACATTTCCAACTGTCACAGGCAGGCAGAGGCTCAGACCACGAGGCATGTGAGTTTGAGCCATGTACCGTCAACTCCTCAGGAAAATATTAGAGCTAAATATGCTTTATCACTGGGCAGGCCTTAAAGGGCAAACACAGATTTGAATCCCCAAGGTTCTGGTTTACATGTACTGAAACAAAAATCACCAGCTTATAGCAATAACAGTACTTGAATTAAATAATATTAAATAAAAAGTTTGGGGGTTAAAAAATACATACCTTGGCATGATGTAAATCTACCCCATACATGGATAGTTTTTTGGCATTTTCCAAGAAATGCATCTCGGCTTCTGCTGGCGTCATCCCTCTGATAAGACAAAAAAGTGTTACAATGTTGCTTCACTTTTGCCTGGCCAGGCTCTAATATTTCCTACTTAGCTCCCTTGCTAGCTAATAAGCAAGCCTTCATAGAGGCACCAGCCAATTTGTGTTCAGAGGGAAGAAAAATAATAAGATGGCTTTTAAAGAAAACCTTATAAATAGATATTCTAAGTAAGAACCTAATTATCCCAGAACTGTACCTAGTGCAGAATCCTACTCTGCTCAAGTGTTGTCCATGATGCACTTGAGATCAGTCTTGGAAACAGTGGGTAGTGAAAGTAATGCTCATTCATCAAGGCCCAACTTAAAAAACGAACTGTTGTCAGGGTTTCTGCCACTAACCTGTGACTCTTGTGCAGCTCGATCACTTTATCTTCCAGTTCTTTAGTGTGATTTGGTGCAAAGCGGAACTCACTAATGTAATCATTCCCACATTCATCTGGGTCATAGTCTCCAAGTTCTGACTGGACAGTGTAGGAGCCCAACAGGGCAAGGGTGACAAAGGAGCAGGGCAGCCTTCCGGACACGATGTCATCTCGCAATTGTAAGCAGAGGTAGTACCTTCCAGTCATCAAAAGGACAAAGCAAAAAGCCAGCAATGGGATACAGGAAAAGGATGCCACTCAGTACACACTGTTCAGTAAGCAATTTCTCCCTATTGAATAATCAATCACATGATGACAAATTTTCAAGTGTCTATATTTTAATCTAGGTATAAGGGGAAAATACTTGGCCACAAAATACAATATTTAAGGGCAAGTAAAGACAAGTTAATGTTCATAATAAAACAGTTTTATTAATAAAAAAAACCTATAGACATACTCAGCTAAAACTTTTAAAATAACATTTAAAGCCAAATGAAAAGTCCCCAACACACTTCCTGAAATCTTTGGTTGGAGGTATTACAGTATAAAAATGGTGCTCTTAAATATAATTGTTAAGTCCCAACTTGACTTCAGGAGTCTCATTTGGATATCTAAAGGTCTTGCCATATGTCCAAGACACATTTCAGGTAACTCAACAGCTACGCCATCATAAACTCTATTCTCAATTTCCTGCATTCCTGGTGAGATAGTCTCTCGATAATAATGAGTGATTTCTGTTTCAACTTCTCATTTTTTTAGGATAACTTTCTAGAATCCAACTGATATGAAGACTAATTGAAGAATTACTACTTTAAGACCTCAGAACCTCGCCACTATAAGTAGACAGTTTGAAATTTGGGGACTATAAAACATTTTCCATATAATTTTGACAAGATAACATAAAAATATTTCCATTAATATTTAACTTATATTCTCTGTTATTTTGCTTTTAAGGTTTAGAGATATAATACTAATTGTGGAAGATTCCACAGTAAGTATTGACATGAATAAGTTTTAATACCTTTCATGGGCCAGCATATGGGTATAATAATAAAACACACCTGTATATTTCATATGAGAAATGAACTGTTAATCTGTTGAAGCTGAGGATTATGAAAAAGTCTTAAGGTCCCTGTACATATGACTTTAAGCTAATGATATAAGCATACTCTGTGTAATTCAGATATACAAATTTCTAATTAATTCAGGGCTCTACAAACATTACAAGTAGATAGAAATCAATCATGCACTAAATTTAAAATCCAGGTGCACATAGGCTTTACAATCACAAATTAGCCACAATTAAATAGTTCTCAATATTACTAAAGAGTATTTTAAAATATGAAATTATAAATTTTATAATTTAATGTGAAGAAATACTCTGGAGCTAGTGTTTACCCTTCACCTAAAATGTCTGTTAAAATTATTTTTAATCAGAGCAAGAGATGGAAACTTTTTGAGTAATTTCCCTTTTCTGAAAAGCCCTCCAAGGATGTGAGGCTTACACAGAAAATTCAGCACACACTGCACAAAATCGCTCTGGCTGGCTACAAACTTACTACCCACCAGGCTAGGGGTTCCAAAGTGGAATGCAGAGGAGTCATGGACGTGCCTCACACCCAGAACTGTTTCATAAAGGACACCTTCTCACACCTAGCGCCCAGTTACCATGCCAGAATATTTCTGTTGGATTCTTTTTTTAATGTCTTCTTTTTATAAAAATGAATTAATCATTTCCCTTGTAGGTCATGGAGAAAGTAAAGTAAGTCTTAAGTGTAAATGTGTTCAATGTGTACCTGTATATGAATGTGTATGTGTCTAATTTTTTTTAAAAGAGCTGCCAAGTAGCAGATTGGTTAAATAAAAGGCATAAGCATCCAAAGACATATTTTTTACTTGATTTTTTTTAATATACATATAAGTTATTATAATTACTTGAAGTTTTAAACCATGAGCACTAAGAATGGCTCTGTCATTTAAGGCTGAATCCCATCTGATTTACTGTGGTGAGTGGATGATAGTATCACAATTCTGCATGTCTTCCCACTAGGGTCAGGCAGACGAAGTAGCGACTTAGCACCAAAGATTCAAGAACAGATATGATTTGGCAAATCTCCTCATCAGATGTTTGCTCTCATTCAGCTGCCTTTTGTTTGCCATTTCAGTGTGGATGATTGTAAGGTTACCAAATGTAGGCATGTTCTTCTCTGGAGAATTTGGGAGAAGCATAACTCTCCCAAGATGCCTGCCTTTTTATAGCCAACTTTCAAATACCTGGTGATATCTTCAGATAGCTGGGCGGGGTCTGGTGGGTAAAATTTCACATTGAATGCAAACTGCCAAGCACCACCTGCAGAGATGAGAAAAAAAATTAGAATAAAACCTTAGAAAATCCCCTTATACTTATGACAGCTAGTGCTACCTTAACTCCAAGTTTTAAAACCCAGGCAAATTTTAATCATCCATCAAAAATAGGAAAGTCTCTGTTAAATGAAATCCAGAGAAGTCTGAAACTTCATCTAGTTTCTAATCTTCTCACCAATCAAATCCTTCACTGGCACTTCTAACTGGAGAGGAAATTGACTAAACTTCCTCCCTTTCTTAGGGACAATGGTATGCCTTCGGAAGAGGGGAAAAAGTGAGCAATACGGATAATCCTCAATCAGACAAGTCTGGAATTGACTAAGTCTATTGCTGTGAAGCTCTGAATAGCTCACATACCAACATTACAGACATAATCCCATTTCCTTTGTCCTTTCTGTTTTGTTATTGCAGGTCAAATCTCATTATAACACATGTCAAGGGACCATTTAAGGTGTTTGATTTTATGGGGAAGTTTTGTTGTAGTGAATATTTAGGAAGGGAGCTGTTCTATGGGCTGCTGAAATTCTTTTCTTATTCAGGGAGCTTTCTGATTAAAGAGATACTTGAGTGTATTTACTGTGCATCACCAATTCCCACACCTCTTTCTTAGCCCATGACTTGAACAGGTCCTCTTTACACACTGCCATTCTGTATCCTGCGGCATTTGTGTCCAGTCTCTCCATATGTCAGCTCACAGGCGCCTACTCTGCAGTAGTGTCCACACATATACTCAGAACATTATTAAGCCTTCCTAAGCTCTCCATTTAATATTATCTCTAATCATGTATGGTTTATCTTATAAACATAAAAAAAAATCTTTTCTTCTTTTCTACATTTTATCTTATGTGATCACTCCTTTAACTTATATTCATTTTGTTCTTTTATTCTGGCCTTTGAATGCAGCAATTCACGGAGTGTCTGGGCGTTCCTTCATTGGGACACTGCATACATCTGTTCCCTCCACCCAGTCACCACACTAAAAGTGCCACAGTATAGGTCCTGCTTGTATTCTGAATGCGCTGCTGAAAAATTCCCTCCAGTCTCCTGGCTGCTGTACTGGAAGCCTTTCTTCTATGCCACACATAGCCATGGTCTTCCTTTCCCTCTCTGTGACCTCACAGTTCAGCGCTTAAGTGTGTGTACTCTCCTAGGAATTCCAAACACTCCCTTCGGCCCATTGAGAAACTTCTGGAAAGTCCTTTTTTATTTTCTATGAGCCCTCCCCAAATATCCAGAAGGAACAGCATTGCAAGTACAGGCATGTGACAAATACTTAGCTGCCTAGGTTATCTACATAGAGTCCATTTATTAATTCCAGTTTCTTCTTGACACTACCATTCATATTACAGTTAAAGTTCCACATGGCAGGGTATACCGTGAAGTGCCTTATAAAGGACTTGGTATAAGACCAGGTAAAATTGAGTGGTTAATATTATTATGTTTCACTCATCTTTACTGTCGAATGTATTGCAGATGTCTCGCCATTATTGCCATCCTCCCCAATCTCACCCTCTTCCTACCTTCCCCATGCTATTGTCTGTGTCCATTGGTTTTGCATATATGTATAGAAGTTCTTTGGTTTATTTCATCCCACCCTCCCTCCCGACTTCCCTTTGAGGTTCATCAGTCTAACCAATTTGCATTTCTTAATTCTTTCATCTTTTTCACCCATATCCCCACCCCCCTCCCATTTGGCAAACAACAAAAAGTTCTCTGTATCTATCAGTCTGCTTCTGTTCTGCTTGCTCATTTTGTTTCTAGATTCAATTGTTGATCATATGTATTAATTGCCCTGTTATTGTTCATATTTTTGTTGTTCTTCTCCTTCAAGAAGACCCTTCAACATTTCATATAATTCTGGTTTGGTGGTGATGAACTCCTTTAGCTTTTTCTTGTCTAGGAAACTCTTTATACATCCACTGATTCTAAATAATAACTTTGCAGAATAATCTTGGTTGTAGGTCGTTGCTTTTCATAACCTTGAATACCCCTTGCCACTCCTTTCTGGCCTACAAAGTTTCTTTTAAGAAATCAGTTGACAGTCTTATGGAAGCTCTTTTGTAGGTAACGGACTGCTTTTCTCTTGCTGCTTTTAAGATTCTCTCTTTCTCTTGAACCTTTGGCATTTTGATGATGATGTGTCTTGGTGTGAACCTCTTTGGGTTCATCTTGTTCGGATTGCTTTGTTTTTTTATCCTCCCCCGAGGACATTTTTCCATGTTTTGTTCAGATAGAGTGGGAGGGAGTGGGAAGGAGGGAAAAAAAGAGAGAGAGAGAGAGAGAGAGAGAGAGACATCGACATCGACATGAAAGTGACACATTGAGTGGTTGCCACCCGCATGACCCAACCAGGGCCAGGGACAAACTGCAACCGAGGTACGTGCCCTTAGCAGGAACTGAACCCGGGTCTCTCTGGATTGCAGGCCGATGCTGTAACCACTGAGCCAAACCAGCCAGGACTGGGTTCATCTTGTTTGGGACTCTCTGTGCTTCCTGGATGTGTATGTCTATTTCCTTCACCAAGTTAGGGAAGTTTTCTGTCACTATTTTTTCAAATAGATTTTCAATTTCTTGCTCTCTCTTTTCTCCTTCTGGCACCCCCATGATGTGAATGTTGGCTTGCTTGAAGTTGTCCCAGAGGCTCCTTACACCAATATTATTTTAAAAGCACATAGAAACTTTACTGAAACGTAGGTTATAAGAATTCTAAGCCATAAAATACCTGTCAATCAAATATACTTCTAGTGATTATTTTCCCTCTGTTCTCAAAAATAAATTTTTAGAATAACAAATTCTAAAATAGTCTGATTTGGGTTTACCTTCCTATTACTTTCTACTCACTTCGTGTTAAAATGGGTCCCTTCCATGTCTACTACTGATGAGGTTCATAAAATGAGCCCCTCCCCCAACACCCCACACCTCAGCCACCCAAGCAAGTGAAATTAAAACTAATGAATTACTTATGGGAAATATATTTATTGCTCTTTTATAATTTTTATCCACTTCAAAGTATGCCTTGAATCCAATGACTAGATTATCAATGTAATTAAACAATCTCATAATAAATTCAGGATAAACACTCTAAACTGAAAACTAAAAAGTAAAAAAAGAGAAAAAAAAAATTTAAATGCAAAAATCCTTAATCCAGGAAAGTGAGTTTCAGACTGTAGTTGACCTAAGAAGCATCTGAGGTGCTTATTAAAACTGTCAATTCCTTAAAATATAAAATACATGTCAATTCCTGCTAGGGCCAGGTAGCTCAGTTGGTTGGAGCATTATCCTGTACACAAAAGAGGTTTTGGGTTCAACTTTCGGTGAAGACATATACTTGGGTTCTGGGTTCGATCCCCAGTTGGGGTGTGTATGGGAGGCAACTGTTTTTTTTCTCTTTCTCAACCCCTTCCCCTCTAAAATCAATAAAAAATATATATATATCCTTAGGTGAAGATTTAAAAAAATTAAAAAAACAAGCAAACAAAGACTTATATACATATATGCATAACCAATGCACATAGGCAGTAGTGCAATGAAGACATGGGAGGGGGTAGCAGAGGGTGGGGGAGCAAAAGAGGGGACCACTAGGGGAAAAAGGGAGGCATCTTTAATACTTTCAGCAATAAAGATAAATTTAAAAATAAAGGTCAATTCCTAGGCTCCAAGGAGAGACTTTTATTCCAGAGATCTGGAATATGCAGTAGGACCTTGTGCCTTTTTTCTTTTTTTTTTTATCCTCACCCGAGGACATTTTTCCATTTTTTGTTCAGAGAGAGCGGGAGGAAGAGGAAGAGAGAGAGAGAAACACTGATGTGAAAGAGACACATCGAGTGGCTGCCACCCGCACGACCAACCAGAGCCGGGGACAAACTGCAACAGAGGTACGTGCCCTTAGCGGGAACCGAAAACAGGCCTCTCTGGACCACAGGCCGACGCTCCAACCGCTGAGCCAAACTGGCCAGGGCCCTTTTTTCTTTTTTTGAACATATTTTATATATATTTTTTATTTTATTTATGTTACAGATGTTTCTCCTTTTTTACCCCATTGACACCCTCCTCCCCATCCCCCACACCACGTCCCGGGTTTTGTTGTCCATATGCCTATTGGTTATGCATACATGCATATATGTTCTCTGGTTTATCTCCCCCCCACCCCCCCCAACAACCTCCTCTTCTGTGGGATCTCAATCTATACCCTACTTCCACCTCTCTGGGTCTACCTATTTCTCAGATGGTTATTTTCATTATATTCCACAAATAAATGAGATCAAGTGCTATTTGTCTTTTACTGCTTGGCTTGTTTTGCTTAGGATAATACTTTCCAGGTCCCTCCATGTCATCTCAAAGGATGAGAGATCTTTCTTTCTTACAGCTACATACTACTCCATTGTGTATACGTACCACCACTTTTTTATCCATTCGTCTACTGATGGGACACTTGGGCTGTTTCCAGATCTTAGCTATTGTAAATAGTGCTGTTATGAACATGGGCATACATATATTCCTTCTGATTGGTATTTCAGGCTTCTTAGGGTATATTCCTAGAAGTGGGATCACTGGGTCAAATGGAAGTTCAATTTATAATTTTTTGAGGTAACACTATATTGTTTTTAATAGTGGCTGCACCAGTCTGCATTCCCACCAGCAGTGTACTAGAGTCCCCTTTTCTCCACACCCTCACCAGCACTTGTTGGAAGATTTGTTGATGACGGCCATTCTGACAGGTGTGAGGTGATACCTCATTGTTGTTTTAATTTGCATCTCTCTGATGATTAGTGATGTTGAGCATTTCTTCATATGTCTCTTAGCCATTTGTATGTCCTGTTTGGAGAGATGTCTATTCAGCTCCTCTGCCCATTTTTAAATGGAATTCTCTGTCTTCCTTCTGTTGAGTTGTATGAGTACTCTATATATTTTGGAAATTAACCCCTTATTTGATGTATCATTGGCAATGATGCTCTCCCATACACTGGGTAGCCTTTCCATTTTGAT